CTCTACTTATTCAGTTTTTCTCATGTAATAATTATATTATTTGTCAATGAGTATTTATCGTTATAAATAATTACTTTTGCTCAAAAAGAATAATTTTGAAAAATAATCGGCTGTTATGAGGATCCCAAAGAAACTTTGTTAATCCGATTTTTCAAGAAAACATGTTTTATATAATTATTTCTGCTTCATGTAATTATACAGGGTGACTTCGAAGTTGAGTCATTTATTTTAACAGTGAGTAGATCTGATCAAAAGAAATGTTTTTTTTCTTTAACATTTTTCTGGTAAAATTAAAGTAACAAAGTTATAGCCCTTTAGAAGTTTGAGTACCGCCCTGTCAAAATAATAATATTATGTGCTCGTGTTTGGCAACAACAGATATAATCCGCCTTATCGGTTCATCGCATCGGAAACAAAAAAGCGAAAGAATTTGAAACGTTTATCACGATGTTTTTCGTCATTCGGTAACGCGTGAGTGAATAGTGGTGTTTGTTGCGTGGCTCAAACGAAATAAAAAATGGCACATGTTTACGAAAATGCTGAACTTGTGAACATGATTCTTATTTACAAAATGCTGCCGCGGCATCACGGATTTATGCGGATCGGTTTCCCAATCGAGTGCAATCAACCCCTCGTGCTTTTGTTAATCTAGTACAAAGGGCTCGTGAATCAGGTGACTTAAGACCATGCCGGTGCTCCAAGCCCGCACGATCAAATACAGGTGTCCGCACTGAAATAATTGTCGGGAGGATACTTTATAAAACAAGGTAACATTTTTTTGATTTTTTTTAATTTTTACACACATATTTTGGTTTATCTTCCTTCTACAATCATTATCTGAAAATTAATGAATCAACTTCAAAGTCACCCTGTATAATTATTCTTCAATGTGAATGAATTATATTAAATTTTTTAAATTATTTAATATAAACGGATTATGAAAACTTCTAAAAAAGGCAGTAAATTTGTTTTTGCAGAGTATTATAGCAGTAAATCACGTTACTGCTTTTTGATTTACGTCAACAATAATTATGATCGGAAATTACATTTAAATGACTCTATAAAGTCATGTAACTTTGCAATATTCATTCGCGTTTGTTGTGAGGAAACAGTACGTATTATTTATCGAAGTATTTTTTTCTCAGATTTCGATTTTTACACTGCCGAAGTGCGGCAGTATATGTGATAAAACATCAGAAAATCATAATGTAATCCGGATCGAGGGATATTACGTACACTAATATGTTTTAAATGGAACACCCTGTATAAAGAGCAGTAGCGGCATAAGTGCAATACAAATAAAAAAGTATTCGTTACACATGAAAACTGTGAGAGGTAGATGATAAATGAGCGGAGTTATACAGGAAATACACTACAACCGCCGTAATTTGTGAGATGTGAGGCTATATTTGTATGGTCTAAATATAGTGGTACACAACTAGAACGATGAGTGAAACCGAGGGTACGAAAATTAAGGAAATATTAAAAAACTCACCTGAGCGCCACTTTGACTGTAACGTCATCTTCTTCCATTCTAGCGTATTCCTAAAAAAGTACATCTTACATCACAAAATGTAAACACTCACACACACCTGTCTAACACCTACCTTTATTGAAATAACTCAAATATCTACAGGATGGAAGGATGTAGATGTAACGTACAGGTAACAATAATGTTTTGTCGTGATGTCTGTCATTTTCTAATACAGATGTTCCGATTACGGCATGGAACTAACCGAATTATGTAAATAACAATAACAGCAGAAGTGAAAGTAACATAACCTATACGTCCCACAACTGTTCGCTAAGGCCACCAGTAGTGGTTCGATACGAATTGTCTAATTCTTGGACGCATTCGCAGTGCGTGCAGCACTCCCCATATACGCGAGAGACTGAAGCGGACTGTCCTCAACCACAACTGTACAGCCGACACAGCGAATTCACTGTTCGCATTACCTACCTCTACCTGTACTGTTGTTACGCTTCACTTCAGCGGTAGGCTATTATAGGTCATTTATTTCTGACGTATCCGAGAGTACAGGCCGGAAGGTACACAAACCCGGCTACCGCGCTTGAAGATATCCTAGGATTCCGTGAAATCAGTCATCCGGCTCGAAGGACCAAAGATATACGAGGAACACTCGAAGAGAACCTTCATACTTCCATAATGCTTACAGTTCCTTTTGCTTCAAATCTTTTATAAGAATGTACTCTGGAATCCAGCTCGAATGACCAAAGATAAATGTTTGTCTTGGCAGAGACAAACCTCTCAGAGTCTGAACCGATTAATCATCTTAGCTTCCCAAATTGCGAGGTGCACTCCAATCTGACTGAGTTGTGGCTTTTTGTCCGCGGCAGCCTTTATCGCTCTCCCTCTGACCATAACTGGGATGACCTACTCGCTGTCAAGATCGACTTCCTGAACAGCAATCACCCCGCTTCAGATGTAATTCTCTTTGGAGATTTCAATGCCCGTAATGAGGGCTGGGCTGGGCTCAAACAAGACTGATGCAGCAGGTCGTGCAGTTGAATCACGAAAGCGTTCTATCAGCTGTGGCACGCTGCCCTCTTAAGCAAACTTCCATCCTATAGCCTCCCAGAGAAGCTTTGGAGACTGACTTCTTCTCTGTATTAAACTGTGTTTTGGAAGTATTAAACTGTACAAGATCGTTGCGACTCTAAGCATAATAACTTCCAAATCTCTCGTCAGAGCGGAAGTCGCTGCTGGTCTTTATTTCTCTATGTAAAGTGTGAAATACTACGTATCCGAATTTTTCGGCAAGGTAACCAAGTGATGTCACCAATATAGCGTGTTTTTATCGATATTTGTTTTGTATTCACGTGGGTTATGTTCTGTCGCCTATATGACGGATAAAGCTTTAAAAGTTCGTTCAATTGGATGTAGCGATATGGATATTTATAGCTGATGCTGATAAGATAACAAAACAGAGTAAACTTATACTACGAGTATTTCGACTTCCAGTGGAGGGTCCATTCTATTTCCGCAGAGGAAACACCTGTGTTGAACCTTAGGATGGAGATAAAAATGAGATTAAGAGTTATTTAGAATTTATAATAATAATAATAATAATAATAATATATTTATTGCCCAACAGATACATCCATTTAAAGGACAATGTAATTAAATACAATTTAGATATAATATGAGACGTTGACCGTGCCGGATTGAAGACTAGGATCTAGGATCATCTAGTTTCAGTTTTTGACAAGTGACATTTGTTTTGGTGTGGGGTTGTCCATAAAATTGCTAAGTTCGGATTAAAGTGTTTATATCCATAAAGCTAAATACAAATCATAATTCAATCCCACATTTGGAGGATTGCCGCATCCCAATAAGAGGATAATCTGGAATTCTCAATCTTAACCCTAAGATCATCCTGCACAAATCCTCGATATAAACGTCCCTGAAGTTAGCTTCGGAAATCATGAAATTACAGTAGACCAGTTCAGTAGTTAGCTCAAATCGCCGATATACTAGAAAACTGGCAATTTTATGTTACTATAAATATGGCTTTCAAACAATTAACTCTAGATAGTAACTCGAAATTCGATATTACCAGTGGTGGCGTGAACGGGAAATCGAGAACAGGTGCTTGTGTGCTATTTTAATACGCAAAATACCAAAAATGATTTAGTAGATTTCAGTGAGTTAGATATAATAAGTCACACATATTTTCCCTACATCTGCCATGCTTTATATAGTTTGCCTTTGACTCATCCCTTGTCATTGAAACCTTCCACGAAGGCGTAGGAATTACAGAAACAATCTACTTGACACCATTTCTTTAATGACTGTATATTAAATCCCTATAAGTACAGCTATGTTCATTCATTTACATTATCCGCTAATGATAACATTGTAAGCTAAGAAAAGTTCCACCTATAATTTTCATGATGAATTTCCAATTAGAGTCGAGTGCTCTGGATTAGAATTATGTAGTAGAGAAACAAGTGAAAAAAATAAGCGCATAAATAAGAAACAAGTTCGGTTGCCCACGTGTTCCACCCACTGGCCTATCACGAAGTCATAAGGATAGCCGCACCGCGCATATAAGCAATATGTATGCGATTTCAGACGACGAACTGTTTTGTTAATGAGCCACAAACTGGAAAGGATACAATAGTGAACAGAATTCCACAATACAAGCAGCTAGAAGAAATGTTAGTAAAAAGGCACTGTCTCCACAAATGGAAATGACATAGAAAAAGACACCCAATAATAATAAATTTACTAAAACATTTTTTGTAGACATGTCTCTTAGGATTAGGTAATTGATGAACATTCAGAAAAAATCAACCGATGTTTTATCGACCACTGCAACGAAGACTATACGAGGGATGTCTTTTAAGTTTTGCATATAGAAACAGTAGGCCGCGCGTCAGTACTGAATCTTAACCTCACTCTTTAGTAAACTTAAATTCAAAGTTTCACAACGATACGTGCAGTGTCACCAAGTCATTAGAAAAATGGAACTCAACCGAGAACATTTTCGCGCCATAATTTATTACAACTTTCAGAGACAACTATCGCAACAAGAATGCCTTGCTGAGTTACTGTGTGTTTTCGGCAACGAAGCGCCACATCATGCGACAATTTCACATTGGTATGGAGAATTCAAACGTGGACGGGCGAGTCTTAGCGACGATCCCAGGGTGGGTGCTCCAAAAACGGCAGTCACCAGGAAAACGTCGATGCTGTGCGCAAACTCATCATTGAAGATAGACATGTGACATATCGCGTGATTGAGGCGACCTTAAAGATCTCAAAGACCTCAATTCAAACAATTTTACATGAAAAATTAGGATTAAGAAAATTAGTTTCTCGTTGGATGCCGCATCTGCAGAAAACAGCCAGGGTTAATTGGTGTCAAAAAACGCTTGACCGCTTCAATTCCGGAAACTCAAAAAATGTGTACAGCATTGTTAGTGGTGGTGAATCGTGGATTTACTGTTATGAACCAGAAAATAAACGACAGTCGGCTGTTTGGGTCTTCCAAGGTGAAGAAAAGTCAACAAAAGTCATCCGTTCTCGATGTGTTTCGAAAAAGGTGGTCGCGACATTTGTGTCAAAAGCGGGTCATATTGCAACAGTTCCTCTTAATGAGCAAAGAACTGTTACTGCGGATCGGTATACCACCATTTGTTTGCCAAAAGTCATCAGCGAGCTTCGAAAAATCAACCCCGAAAGAAGAATCATCCTCCACCAAGACAATGCAGGCTCGCACACAGCCCAAAAACAAGGCAGTATTTAACGGAAGAGAACGTGGAATTATTGGACCATCCTCCATATAGTTCCGATCTAAGTCCTAACGATTTCTTTACTTTCCCGAAAATTAAAAACAAACTGCGTGGTCAGAGGTTCCAGTCACCAGAAGAAGCAGTTGACGCATTCAAAAATGCCGTTTTGGATCTGCCAGCAAACGAGTGGAATAAGTGCTTCGAAAATTGGTTCGGGCGCATGCAGATGTGTATTAATCATCGTGGAGAATACTTCGAAAACAATAAAGTCATTTAAAACTACCTACCGTGTTGTTTTATTTCCATATGCAAAACTTAAAAGATATCCCTCGTAGTAACTCAATAATCCTTGCAATATGGTATCGATAGACTTATCTGGTTCTCTTTGGTAGAAGAATATGGTATCTCGGTGATGCAACTATAGGCAACCAGTAAATATAGTAAGTAGTAAGTATAATAGTGGCGGTTGCTCCCGCGAAAACTACATCAAATTGAGTTACTCAAGTCTTCGATGCAAAAAATCACGGAAAGCCTAACTTACTGTTAGACCTACTATCTGACTATGATTTTCGCGGCATTGTTTGGGGTTACGGTAATTAATAGCGAGAACGTTTCAGAGCAGACCTATATCGAACTGATGAGGACTGAAGAGCCATGTCTGCAGTTGGCGTGGGTCCATTAGTTTTAAATAAAGGGTAAAATCGGAACAAAGACGATTGTGGAGAAAAGTTGAAAGTAAATAAGTGCCTCGTGAAATGAAATATAAGTGTGACTATGCCGACGATCTCATGATAGTAACATTGATTAGCACAGTAAATGCTAGAAAATTAAATGGTTTATTAGACCTATGTAAATCAGAAGCAAAACAGTCTTCCTAGCATTCCTGAGGCTTACCTGCTTTTCATTTTTCTCTAAATCCAAGGAAGATAAAAAAAATACAAAGCGGACATACTAACAGACGATGATAGTGGAGATCACGAAGATGAATATAATTTGAGTGACTCAGATTGGCATTAAAGAGGTTTTTTCGACCATTTGTTTGAAAAATACTGTAATATTTAAATAAATATCCTACTCAGTCTAGAGAAAATGTACGTTTTTCTTCAAAACGAAAACTATAGAAGTCAACAAAATTTATTAAAAAATGTCATTTTCGCTAGGTTTATATTGAAATACCATTTATAACCTTCTATGTACAAGAATTACTGCAATGTGCAACACATGTTTGATGAGATCGTCATTTTTATAACAACTAATTCATCAGAAAATCTTCTAATGCCTGTATCTCAGTTCAACCAAAACTGAGTTACAATAGTCTTCCTTGCAGGGCTCGTTATTTACTCAGAAACACGTCTGGGCGTTCTTCTAATCAGATGATCGATTTCCTCTCGAGGTATGTCATTCCAAGCTACTTGTACCTCGTGCCGAAGAGTCGCTAGAGTCTGTGGAGGAGTAATATACTTCCCGTAATGTCTCACACGTGTTCAATGGGTGTAAGATCGGGAGATCTATGGTCCAAGGCAACAAATCGACGTAATTGTCTTTAAAATGAACCAACGGAATTCTGGCGTATTATCTTGTTTGAAAAAAGGGTTTGCGAGCGTCAATGTATAAGGAAGAACATACGGCCATGACCCCCCTGGGCGAATCTAGTTTGACCACTAATATTTATGACTATGGAATCTCTTTGATAAAGTTAAAGAAATAAAACACTTTTTGACGGAGAAAATCAGAGAAAAGCGGTTTGTAGGAAAACCTGAATATCATAAAAAAACCGACATGTCAAAAAAAAAACGACAAACTGACAATTTTTTCACAATGATTCGAATTACACTGTAATATTCAAAGGAAAAAACGATATGTACCGGTGTCTTTTAGGGATCTGTATTTCAGAAACGAATCGGTAACAATCACGATGAATAAAACACTAGTTGATATACTTTTACATTATGTATTTTGACATATTACACTTTTTTGGCATAAAATAACATACTAAACAAAAAATATTTACAGAGCCTTTCTACAGTAACTATTAACCATCACCAAAAGTTTACTAACACATGTATAAATAGATCTCTACAAGATACTTTCAAAAAATGGGCGATGTGAAATGGAAAAAACTAAGGGCACTTTAATATCAATCTATAACAACAGGGGTAGATGTACATCATGTATCTTTATTTACAAAGTAAACTAACAAGGTACCCTCCTACAATATACAATACAGACCTAACAGCCCTAACAGGCCAAAGCTTTAGCTAATCGTCAGTAACAAACTAGTCTAGTTAACTTGAAAGTCTGGTGCCTTTCCTCCACCTTATATTGAAACATGTCATTAAAAATCGATATAATGTCACCTATGGAGAAATGTAATACAGACCTATATTATAGAATTTACAACTCAAGCCATAGGCATTGCCTAGCCATATTGCTCTGAAGCAGATGTTAGATAACATCGAAGCCAAACGATATAGCTCAAGTGTCGCGACGTTTAGGCAACACGCACAGCTACTACAAGTGAACATGAAGTGAACGACAAGTAGTTCCAAGTTTTTCGGAAATCCCAAAATCGAAATACCTATTAAGGTAAACGTAGATTATGAAAAAAAAAAACAGTAAGTGTATAGTGTCTCGATTTCAGAATGTCCCTTTCATAGAAAAAGACGACTCTCGCATGCCTATGTGGTGTGTTATATGTTTTCCCTAAGTATAAGTTTAGCTGCAAATTGACAATATAGTAGCCATTAGTGAGGAACTACGTGTTTGTAAGAATCATCGAGACCTCCTAGGTCTAAATGTATCTAAATCTATAATAAAAAGGATCGCGATAAAAACAATTGGAAAAAATAAATACAAAATTATAATGACAATTCAACTTTTATTTTTATAGTTAAAAATGTTGCAACAATGCACTCGTATAAAAATAATTAGAGTTAAATGTTTGAAATGGGTGAATTTTGGCCAAAAATGCCACAAAATCACAAACCTTGTATTTTCAAAGAGCAAGTATTAAAATAAAGGAGAAATGATGAAAGTTTAAAAACATGTACTGAAATATTTAAATGCCAAATTTGACAGATGCGATCTACTTAAAATATGAGTTATTTTCAGAGGCAAACCCCCCTCCCATACAGATTAACCAGTAGATGTTAAACCATAAGGTCCCATTAAAAAAAGTTAGTGTCAGATATTTCTGTGGCTCCGTGGCTCCACGATCAAGTAGACGGCCAAAAAATAGCTAGAAAAATCCCACTACTGGATGTATAATATTTTTGTATAATTCGACATTCATTAACGTTTGTAACATCGTAAAATTCCACTTTCTTTCCTTCGCCTGAGTATGAAAAAACTATGCTGGTATATTTGATTTGAGGAAAATTATTTTGGAAAAGCATGACTTAGAAATATGGAGGAAAGGTCACAAGTTCATCCGGTCAACTAAACGTCAAGGCTACATGTTTAACAATTATTGTACTACTACTTGAACAACAAGTTACTAGGTATAAATCCCAAAAAGATAAAAATACTATTGTCATATATAAATTGTGTATACAGTATAGTTTTAATTTTCTCTATATCTCAAGGACAAAGCTAAAACAGCAGCCTTGAAATAATGTAATATAAACAAAAGTAATGCACACGGTAGGTTTAAAAGACCTAGGGACAAAAATATCTTCCCTGGTAATTCATCAAATGATGCCCTTTAAAATAATCAAAATAACAAGCATTGATAAACAGGGTATATTTGCGATACTCCATAAAAAGAAAATATTTGGCTCGCATATTATTTCTTGTGGTTTTTCGTTACATAATTATTTACGAGACCGAGAAGATTTTTACCCAGAATCCAGATTATACTTTCCTGAAGGTTTTCGATGCGCTAAATCCGAATTTGTGGTTCAAATGTCTCAATTAGGTCTAGTTTCCGAGATATCCTAACCGAAAGGTGCAAAAATATAAATTCAAACATATTCAAAAATCGCAATATTTGCACTTTAGGTTAAGCTTTCTCGGAACCAAGAGCCAATTGGAAGAATTGAGCCACGGCTTCGGATTCAGTGCATTAAATAATTTTGGCAACGAATACCCTGGTTTCTGAGTAACCAATATGTGTATCACATAAATTATAAAAATTGCTGTACAAATTGTTAGGCCATATTCGATGAAATATACTGTCAAACATTTATTTTAAAAAAAGGAAAATGCAGGGTTTTTGACTTGATGGAATATCAAAATATATCCTGCAACCATCAAACTTTGTGAAGAGGTATTGAAATTATCGATTACTTGTTATTCAAAGTAGATCAACGTTTTCACTTCACAAATATTTGCGTTCTGAAGTTTTGACTTTGATAGCCGTTTTTTTGTTCACAGAAAATGCCAAAAACAATGCAGGCAGGATGGTTCATAATATCAGCTTATACAATCTCGTTAGAATATTTAAAAATAGCAAATAAAGAAGTTACATTCAAATCATGGGGGCCTGTACGTATAGCTACAGGACCTCCAAGCCCGTGAAAGATCAAAGTTAAGAGGACCTTGCGTCTTAAGAGAATTCTTTCAGTGTTTCATTATCGCATTCCTATGGAAAAGAGTTTTACCCTCGATTCATTAATTAGCTATCTTGTATTGAGAGCAACAACATGTCCAGCCTTGTTAGGTATAATAAAAAGTATCGATAACGCATCTTTTGAGTATATTCCAACTGTCAGGTCCACACTTTTTAAATATATTTGAGATATTCACTGTTTCTGATGATAAAAAGATTATTTTTTCAGACACCGCGTTCAAATTCCAAATTTGATGATTTAAGCTTAGTTATGAATTATCCTGTGAATCCATCGTTGTTTTTGCTTGTTTCGAGTAAATTCTTTAAATTCCTTGACATGTTAAAGGCCAGTGAAAAAACCCTGAAATTTTGTATTGACATGATCCTACATCCCATGCTCATGTGTGCAAAATGTACGTGTTCCGGAATGTCTTCTACTACAATTATACACAAAACATTCAAGTAACATTATTGTATAGGGTGCTTCATGGTAACCATAATAGCAGTTTTCACGTATTTTTCCTTTCCCAATAAGCAACGGAGTATTATAATTGTTTATGAAATATACACCAGGAAGAAACATAACTGGCTCGATCAGCCAGAAAAGTTTGGGATACAATTTCAAAATAGGATACAGGACAAAAGTTTCAAATGTTGTAGAGCGAAATGATGGTGACCTTGACGTGACCGTCAAGATCATTTCAAGCTCAAGGAACGACATTGAAAACCATAAACTTCAAGATCGAGTCAAAACTTTTGGAATCGGAAGAAGCCGAATGTGACATTGACCTCAAAGTCAGTCAAACACAAGACAATATTAAAGTTGTTTGTAAGGCAACCTCTTGACTTTTATGCCAAAATTGAAGACAGCAAGACATTTTATATTTAAACGTGTACAATTTCGACATGATCTTGAAGGTAATGGCCAAGGTCACCTATGAATGAACCCATCAACGTTTCTGCTAGAGCAAGTTGTTTTCAGTTCCTTTACTTGAAGGTCAATGTCATATTGGAACGTAAAATTTCGGTGGAACTTGAAAAATTCGCTTGACCTTGGAACGATTTTGAAGGTCGCGGTCAAGATCATGGTAACCATCATTTAATTTTATTTTCATTACATAGTCAATTAGGGCAGTGCAAAACTGTATAATGAAATTTAACAAAAAATAATCCAAGATGGATATGAATCACTGTATGGATACCATTTGGGAACCCAATACGCGTAACTTATCTGAAGATGGTAACATTTAACATTTAGGGGATCACACTATAGGTCCAAGAGAAATAGATTTAGGCAGTATGCCCGACAGTAACAAAACTTTTTAAGATATTAAACCTGGGCCGTCATTAAAAAACATATGCTTAGTTATCACATTTAGCCTTTTGGATTCATATCTTAAAAGGTGTAATACTGAGATAGAAAGGAAGGTCCACTCATTTTCTTCCACAGATCACAGTTACTGTGCTACAATCTTTGTAGAAATAATACAGCACAAAGTGCCATCTAGTTTTTTGCGTTATAATTAATTGCTTTTTTGCTTCACAATTTTTCGTTGATCTATAGGCAGGAATTGCTAATTGATAATTATCGAGAACGACAGCCAAATCAAGAGTCGGCTTTTTGAAAGCTCTACTGTACTTGACACTTGAACTAGCTATCATCGTCACCGTTTTTTTCAAGGAATATTATACGAGGGCGATTTTAAAGTAAGAACCGATTATCAAGCATCGTTTCCCCGCATCCTGCCACGTGACGTCCGTTCAACCTCAGACACTCTTGGCCAGTCTTTCACTACGCCGCAATTACGTTTCTCGTCTCTGTCGCTGTTGATTGCGTGATTATATTGTAAGTACGCTCAGTAATTCGGCGTTAAACGCAAAAAAGTTCGTCCTACTATAAATGCCGTGGATCATAACTGAAGCTTAGCTGGCTATTAAGCGGGGTCATTTTTTTGTTCACGGCAACGCTCGGCAAGAACACAGTCGCAACTGGACAAATTTCGTTGGGAGTGGACAAATGTTTATGGTGACTATGTTGAAAAATGAAAAAAAATGTTCATAGTTTAGTTTTTGGTACAATTTATATTCATAAATAAAGTTTATCTGACTCCTTCACAAAACGGTTCTTGCTCAAAAAATGGCCCTCGCACTGTCGAACTATAAATTGAGTACCTATGGTAATTGAAAAACTTCATTGTATCGATTAATATCGGAACAAAGATCATTCTATTTCGAACTAACTAACTAACCCAAAGATAGACAACCATGGTAGTCTGTCGCTCAAAATGGGACCAGAAAGATCATAGCGCCATCTATAAGAATGTAGCAGAACCAAACATCTCATAGATGGCGCTAGGCTCTTTCGGATCCCTTTTTAGGTTCCTGATTACACTACATGGTTGGTAAAATACGTTGAACAATGCTCAAAATCATTTACATTTACTCATAATCATGTGCGTGAACATGTGGAATAATCATCCGTTTTCTGTTGAACCATCTTTGCTCCTAAATTCAGAAATTCAACCAAAAAGGAGGCATATCAAGAAAAAACTAATTTAAATACACAAAATTACGTTTCCCCTCGTTGTTATTTGGAAGAAATTAATACGGTGTTAATATAATATAAATATAGCAGCTTTTAAATATTTACGGCGACTTGGCAACACTGCTTTCAAGGACAAGGCCAATGAAGGCGACCAGCAAACTTCTCTTGGTATACCGCCTCTTAGGTTCAACTATATCCTATAAATGTCGGTAGTGAATAGTTTCATATTAGGTGTATATTCGTTCAATTTACAAACCTGAATCACGGACTTGAATTATAATAAAATGTGATCTTAAAATTGCAACACAGTCTGTTGAGTGAAACTTAAGTGAATCATTACTTATTCAGCATTGATAGTGATGGTTTTGCCTTTGGCGTCATCGAATCGATCCATCGTTCTGATGTCCATCATCATTGTGATGCCAAAAGTCATGATGAACAGAAGAATACTTGTTACAAATAGTCCGGACCAAATAGGTACTGATGTGAATCCTACACAATCGTAAGCATCAGAGAACTTGGTATTGTTTGGAAGGGGACCAAAGAATAGCTCCACCTGTAAACGAAACATTACGCTGTTCAGGAACAAAAAATTCAATGTTGGAAAGAACCGTTCATATAACAACAAGCACGATAACAGTAATACAAGCTGATAATTACCTGGAAGTCTTTGAAAAACAGGCTGTAGTTGCCATTGGAAAATAGCTGATCTCCACAGTGGTATGAGAAATAATTTGGAGCGTACATATCTGATGTTGAAGTAAGAGATTGGGTAGCTGTATCAATTTTCAGCTCAACAGGTTCTACTAACTCGTAATATCCCTTTGAATTATTGAAATTGAGCCTGGAAAATAAAAAAAAATGATTTGATATTGTCACGGAATTTCTAATAAGTTATGTATAGAACGCATAAAATTATTTTTTTGACATTCTGCTCTTAAAGGGAATAGTACTTACGTGACCTCCAATTTAGCATTTTTTGGGTCAGTTAAACTTAATTGCAGTTTTGCTGAATCATTTGTGACCTCGCTTTGGAAATTTGCGAATGTCAGTTGTTCCCTGCAACAATACAACAAAAATGAACACAAAATGAATTAATGAAATGACAAACTCTGTGAAAATGTTTAATTCTACCTGGCCACACGTGATCATTTTTCTAAGTGACTGAAAGGTTGTTGTAGGGTTTAGAAAGGAAATATAGGTAACGTACCACGTTGCCCTTTTATACAAACTATTATGAACAAAAATGCAAAAATTCCGACTTGATCTGAGGACCGAAAAAACCCTTATGAACCCCCGTCCTTTCGTTTTTGAACTCACTTTTCTTTTCTGGTTTCGTGTTATCAACATATTCAGCTTTGGAGTAGTAAAGATAAGCATTCTTTGTTGAGTGGAAGTGACCACTATCCTCTGTACCATCACTCACAGCTCTAATTTTCCGTGATTGATACACGTTCTCGGAACCAACCTACAACATATATTGACATAATTACTATTTCTTTGTGACGAGTTAACTATTTAAAGCGTACCCATGATGTGTGTTGTGCTGTGTATAAAGCCAAAACATTCTTGCGGCTTTGCAGGACTTTTTCATAGATACGAGACACCACAGTATCTGAAATAAATACATATTACCTTAGAAACATACGACAAAAACTATGTAGTCTGCATATTTGACTATTATTGTTCCTAGATTACATCATTTCTACAATTATTGTGGAAAATAGAACATCTGGAACATGGACAAAAAAAAGGAATTATTTATTTCCAACTTTTTCACAAACATTGTAAGAAAATAAAACATATCTTGTTACTGTAGGAAATACAATAAAAACTTACCATGTCGTTTCAGCATGTCTAACCTATCTTCAAAGTCTTTAGCATCAATCAAGTTGATAATCAAAATATCAGTCTCAGGAATATTGAAATTTTCGTTTATAAGTTTCTCCACAGGCATTTCCTGTATGTCAGCATTTAAATGCTTCAGAGCTCCAATAGGATTCTGAACATATGGCAAATAGGATACTTTTTGAGATTGCTTCAATTTAGCCAAATTTGAATAGAGTATTCCACCAGTGCGGTCATATTGAGCAAAATCTTCTGGACTCAACTACAATTAAAAGCAATATATTTAAATCAAATGATAATGTTTTGTAAAATAGATGTTCTCACGAGGAAATTTCGAAAGTAGGTTGCAACTAACATGAAAAAAAAACTTGGACTGTTTCATTTGCAAAAACCCTAATACCTTGGAGGAGGATAGGAAAAGAATGAAAACTAAAAAATTTCGGATTGTCCAAAACGTCATTCTTGTTTTAGGAGTTTTTGATGATTTTTTATAAAATGTCTCATTACAAAATGTTGCAATTTTAACTCACAGTTTCTTCAGAAAATACAAGAATGAAAGCCTTGTCCTTATTAAGCCAGTCTAACATTCCATCTCTAAAAGAATCTTCACTAATTTTGTGCAGCCCGGGTACTTTAGCATTAGCCCTAAAATGAGAGAAAGTAGACACATACTTAATTCTGTAAAATATAGATGATATTAGATACAAATCTTCAATCTATCTAATCATCAACTTAGGGGGTATCATGTGTGCCAAACAACTACGCAGACATTTTAATACAGTGGACCTAACTAAGTAAGAATGCAGTAAGAGCTTAATAATCCAGTTTAAAAAATGCCTCAATACAAAATGTAATATTTAATCATACCTTTTGTTATATAATAGGGATAGATAGATTGGATGTTGTGAATAATTAATATACAGGTGTGTGGGTATTTTAAACCTGGACAGTTGATGATTATTTGTAGCAAACAGAGGTTTTCTTTTGGATAAAAAAAGTTCTTGAATTTTATTACGTATTTTTCCTATATTGTATTCTTGCCTATCAGACCAAAAATGTCAAAATTTTCTAACCAATATACATAACGTATTTTTAAATTAGGTAGATGAGTAATAGGAATAGTTCATTTTTTTCAACAGCAAGCACATGCAAAATAAGACTGGTAGAATTTTTAATAGATGACTATATGCTTAATTGGATCAATAATTTCAAAAAGCGCTCATGAGATATTTTTGAATAAGTATGCCTTTTTTTACTGAAAATACTTTCTTCAATGCATATTGAGTAGGAACCATGTAAATCAATATATACCTTCCTCTTCATATGGAGCCCAAAACAGTTGTTTAAAAATCTATTGCTGAAAAATTTTGACATGACCGATTCAATTAAATTAGATACATATCTTATATTAGCACAACATACCTCTTGTTTATTAAAGCATAATGTCCAATTTTAAAATACTCTGATATGTCCCCTTGATTTCTTCATTAAAAAATCATATCAAACAAAACAATGCCTTTGATATCAGATATATAATTCTATAGGCAAAAATAAATACTAGTTACCAATAGTCAGAAAAGACTAATAAGATGATTTTTAGTTTTGAAATACATTTTTCTGCCATTCAGTTGAATCGATAGTGGTTATAGGAAATATTGGACACAAGTATTTGGAGAAATTTGCTGCCTATGGCAAAGAAATGAGATCACATTTTTTGATCATATGACTGAGCTACTCCTTGATTTTTAAGGAAGTTGTCGGAAATATATTAACAAGCAGCTTTATTCATGATTTGGAAAGTTAAACTATCCAGTTAATTGATGTGAATAAGCATACGCAAACAGTTCGCGACAAAAGGGCAGTTTTTAAAAAAATCACAAGTTGTGTACCCACCTTGCACTAGACCACATATATACAGGAACAAATTCTGTTGAATTGATTATTGTAAAACCTAAAAATAAACTCAAAAGTGTTAACAAACTCCTCAACTGCCCCATTTTTCTCGACTGATCTTTTACAACGCCTTTTAAATAAACCTAGACTGAAGATCACGTGAAATTAGGAAATCGCGATCATCTGGTTTTCTTGCTACACTTGATTTTGACACATCGAGCTTCCAGGCTAATAATTTATGAGGATGATACACAATTAGACTCCATTATATCGATCTTGCTGTTGAACTATTCGACGTTTTGTAAAACTTTTAGTTTTTCGTGTTTGCCGATTTATTTTATTTTGTACATTATATTCTACAAGTTATATTTAGGTTTTTAAAAAAGTAAACTCGTACATATTCTTAAAAATATCGAATGTTGATCTTTTGAAAATCACATCTCTACACCAGGTAGGGTAGATGACTGTAAGCAATAACAATGAAGTTATTCCTTTCCTCAATAGAGGGTGCTGTGCAAAGACACGTGATGCGGACTATCGAAAAGAGATTTCTCTCGTCCGTTACTAACTTCATTCCCTAGTCTAACAAACAAAAGTTTTCTGTTATGGCAACTTTTAAGCAAATAAAACTTTAAAAGCCAAAAAAAATCAATTTACTATCACAATCCATAACGTCATTTACATAATCACGCACTGGACTCCAGAATTTTCGGTACGTAACGAATAAGTGATTATAGGCTGGACAATAAGGTTCGATTGTCATTAAATACATATACAAGAGTTTTCACAAATCCTTTAAATATCTACGATGTGTCAAACGTAAGCCCAAAGATCATTATAAAATGTTTTTTAGCTCACTGAATCCGAGCCCGGGACCCATTTGGTCCAGAAATGTCACATTTTGCAGATACTGGCAAAATTCTTGGTACTTATCAAAATACGACTCGCATAAAATCTTCAAAAATTGCTGTACGTTCATGATCTTGATAAAACATAGTTTCATCAATAAATCTAGTGCGTAGATTCCGAATTCGATGTCTATTTATTGCTGAGATTCATGTTTTATTAATTTCACCCTCAACTCGGCACACCATGACCCTTGAGGTCTTTTCACGATGAGATTCAAGCTTTTACATTATCTTAATTTACAGAGCATCGTTGGCATATATGCACCGATACAGGCTTGTTTTTTGAGTGATTCGGGTGCGTAAAATCCGAATTCGATGTCAATTTAGCGCTAGAATTAGAATGTACATGATACACGAGATCAGCTACTAGTGAATGACTTCGGATTCGGTTTTAACTACCCCCCCCCCCCTCCTTCGCACGATAGAGGTCATTAAAACCACATTTGATGCATTCAGGTTTTTTGTATCAGTGTGTGTTACAGAAAAGGGTCAGTCGGGAACGTTGAATCTCCTCAATAGATAACAATTTGAACGGAAGTGTATAAGACGAATGATTTTTCGAAAAATTTTCTATCCTTTATTTAGAAACCAGCGTTAAACCGTTAGCTTAAACACATGTTCATTGTGTATCCAAGCGTTTAATCTTGAATCGTGTAAAAAAATCTATAGAATTGTCAGGTTTCTCTTGATAAAAATGATGTATTCAAATACAGTAGCAGCATCTTGTAGTCAAGTAACATTTTGGGTTATAGTTTTCTACGTCCTAAGCGACCCTCAAATTGTGATTCGCTAATAGATAATAATTAACATGTTAGCGATTACACCTTTATCAAATGATAAATGTATTTACGAAATATTGACGCTTTTATTTACTGGACTATTTATCGACTTATTCGTTCTGTACCAAAAAAGAGAATCCTAGTTCGCTAATGTCAACGGTACTTGTTATTGACAGATTGACAGTTGACAAGTAATTTGTATGAGCAGCTAAAAACATTGAGCGCAATGTTAAATTAATAAATAAGCGGCTTAAAACTTCACGCTTTCCGTAAGAAATTTACGTTACAAGTTTTCTTTTGAAAGGCGAACCGAAATGGCTGAAAAGCTAAAGGTAAGGATGCTTGTAGCGGTCTTATAACCTATATAAATCTCTAAACCGTGAAAAACAAAGCTCAGCATATGATCTTCGACTTTCATAATGAATCTGAACGATGTTCCTTGATCAAAATTTGTCGGCTATACATATTAAGTGCTACAGTAGCTTATTGATGAACATTTGGTTTATACGTTTGTCTCTCCAGTTATAGTGCATATTTTACAGAACATACCTGAACAAAAGCTAAAGGCCTTTTCAATAGGCACAATGGGCAAACGAATACTGTCCAAGAAGGAAATGGAAGAGCAGAGAAAAAGAGAAGAAGAAAAAGCTGCTGCACATGTAAGACAAAACTATTTTGTCACTTTAACTATGTTACATATCACCAGGGATATGTAACTTTACTAGCCTGGTTGTGTAGCAGTAAAAATGGCAAGGTGTCATCTGGTGTGCATTGGCGATAAATCACTCATTTTTATAGATTTTTGTAGCCTTTGGTCACAATATAAGCACCTTATTTTCAGGTATTTCAAGAGTTTGTGGAGACGTTCCAAGAAGCACCACTAAATGGGAGTTCCAAAGTTTGGGTAAAAGCTGGTACTTATGATGCAGGAGCTAGAAGTATGTGTGATCTGGTAAAGTAAGTAAACACTCTCAAAATATTCTTTTATAGAGGAGGATACAAAAGACAAAGGGAAGTTATATAAGCCGACATCAAGAATAGCACCACCAACTACAGAAGCTTATTCATCAGCAGAGAGAGCTTATCAGTACGCAAAATTGCTTGCTAATGACAAAAAGCCTGAGAGGCTAGGGAAGAAAAAGTCTCAGACTAAGAGTAATCTTGAAACTTTCATGGAGGAGCTAAGACAGTAAGTGCTTATGATATCTTCATTTTCAACACTAATCTTTAAGCGTGTACGTACTGCTCTAAGGAGATATCTTCTTAAAACAATAATGATATAGCTCTAATACAGGTAAACTCACATGTTAACAAATTGACTACCATACGGAGCTACATTTATATTTTCTGTGTGCGAGCGGTCGAAATGAGGATCAGTATAAGTAAGCGATTCGACCGCTGTGACATATGGGCCTACTTATAGAGTACTATCAGGTGTATTATTTTCAAATTGGCACCAGAGGATATTTTTATTTTTTTTCCGGGCATGCAGCCTGTTAAATATCCCTGGGGATTTGTAACTGCACAACGCCAATGGGTATCAGTAACAATTTTGAGTCATCTTTTTGTATGTGGCAGTAAAACAATTATGTTTGGTGCAAATCTGTTGGCAACGATGGCACTATTTAAATACAAATACTGAAACATTCAGTTAGAAGCCTCAGCATTGAGTAGACAGTTAATAGATATTGCATAAGAAGCTGAAGATTTCACATACCTGGGGATATGTACCACACAGGAGTGAAAATACATTATATGTAATACACATTAAAGTTTTGATGTGTTTGTAAAAAGTATTGTGAGAAGAAGTGATATATTTTCAGGATCCAGGAAGAAAGGGAGGAAAGGCATAAATACAAAGGTTCAGTTCGGACACCAATAGAGAATGAATTAGACCTTTTTATGAGAACCGGAGATATAGGATCTTTCGACAATGGAGATCCGACGACCACAAATTTATACCTTGGAAATCTAAATCCAAAGGTGAGTGTTTTCATCCAAAATGGATATCAACTTAGTTAAATTTAAGTATTCATGTCAGATTTGTAAAAATGAGCAAACAATTTTTTTTTCACTACTAACCTTAGAGAATCACCATTTTGACTGCAATCTTCCAATGAGAAGGAGTTTTTCTTTCCCTGATAATAAAAAAGCACCTGGTTAAATCATATGAATCTACATTATGTTTTTGTCTTTCGCTGTCCGTCCACTGATTTGATACTTGCAAAAGCCTGCAGCTCTGCTCACATAGAAGTACTCTACAGTATAGATCATACATCTTGCATCAATTTCGGAGAAGGAAATACAATATTTGCACCTTAATTTGACTGAACAATGCCAGCTAGCGATCCGTCAACGTTCCTGCAATGACTTGTCGGCAGATTCCGGGAAATCATAGCTCTGATTTCTGCCTTAAGGGCACCACCAGGAGTGGATCCTGCATCTTAATTTGACTCAACAAGGGAAACCTCACCAGGCCCAGACACTGGAACGATTGACATATTGAGAGGAGTATAGTTACCCTGTGGAATACTCTAGCACCTCAAAAAAAGATCACAAACAAATCTGAATCGAGATGATCACATAAAGAAAATGAATGCTGAAATGGAGTAACAACACAATGCTTCCTCATTTTGGACGGACCAGCGACTGAGCGCTTTCCCGCCAAACTCGTCATGTCAAAATTCCATTAAGCCATTGAAGCCCGTGAAACAGATGTTTCAAAGTTATTTCCTGGGACAAAAAGAGTAGCCTATGTTCTATTCCAGACTGTAATTTATCTCTGCACCATATTTCATCCAGATCTGTTCAGCCATTTCTCGTGATTTAGTAACAAACATCCAAACTGCCTCATTTATAAAATTAGTAGAGATGAAGCAATAAGTTTGATATGCTTGTCTGCAAAAATGCAGTATCCTTTATACATTTCTTGTTTTCATTATAACATGTTATATATAGTAATGTAAATATAAACATATAAATATTTATCTAAATAATAGTATTGTTGTGCATAATTCCAAAGACAAATAAAGAGTTTTTATTATATGCGGCCAGGGCTGGAGCTAAGGCTAATGGGGCTCCGGGGCAGAAGGAAATTCGGAGCTCCACTTTGCCGCTCGTGACAATAGAATAATACAAAGTATAAACAGGCGAAAAAGCATTTTTCAACTTAACCCAACAAATAATGTAAATTTTCTAATCCGACTGAAAACAAAAAAAAATTATAATGCATCATGACTATCAAAATTCACATCTCTGCTCGGAGGCCCTCTTGAAGGGCCCATAACTGGATTCCGTAACACGTACCGATGATTGTAGTTGACGATAGTTGTACACAAGTAAATCCCAAAGGCTATCTGGCCAGCCTAGATACAAAGGTACACGTAACGTACGGAGTAGGGTAAATAAAATGTCAATGAAATTCGATATTATGACCGCTGCACTAAAATTTGGATATACGAGCTTGTTTCTTAAATTTATCCCATCGAATTCCGTTTTGGTAATTTTTTTTGTTCTTGTTTTACTATTGTTCTTTATTTAAACTTAATCTTAAAACACAAGTTGAAATAATAGCTAGACAACCTCCATAATTCGTCCATTTTCAAACGAGCACTTCAGCTGGTCGGTTTCATTCATTCGAATGTTTTGGGCGCCTCCAGTGTTGTCAGATGGAACGCTGCGTTGCCAGTTTCACTTAATTTACAGAGATCTTTCCCAATATGCGTGTAATTCACGTTATGCTGATGAGCTCTGTCTTTGGGTAAATGAGTCACCATCGTCTAAAATTATCGATACGAGTTACAGAATACCAGGGGCAGCTGCCCTTTTGCCAATAGTTCCGCCCTGTATACGGCCTAGTCAGAACAACAGGACACCAAAGTAACCAGACACTGATTGACAGATTACCGAACAGCAATTGATGGAAATCTTTGGACGATTTGGCCCTTTGGCAAGCATAAAAATCATGTGGCCCAGATCAGACGAAGAAAAAGCCAGGGGTAGGAATTGCGGCTTCGTGGCTTACATGGCACGAAAAGATGGAGAAAGGGCATTGAAAGCACTCAACGGAAAAGATATTTTAGGTTATGAGATGAAACTGGGTTGGGGCAAATCCGTTATTATCCCCCCACACCCAATCTACATTCCGCCAGTACTTTTAGATCTTTCTCAGGTAACAAATGAAGGGTTTAGGAATAAGAACCTTACTGAGTGGAGGCATGGATTAATGCTTGTTCCAGAAGTAGCTGACAGGCGGTGATGGGCGTTTTCAAGGGAAACACGACTAGATACGATCTTTCAAAATTGCAACTGGCAGGCAATCAGTCCGCCAGACTGTCAAAGTGAAGCTTTGAATCATTTATAACTCAACAACTTTTTATCAAACCTTATAGTCTGGTACATCAATCTTCTTTTGAAAGGTTTTGTCTAAATCGGCAATAACATTTTTGAAATTCCATCTAAAAAATTGATATAATTACGTATAGCGTGATGCACTTGTCGACACGTAGACAATCCGCCCATCAGTGCCGATACCACTGCACCTTTAGACTTAGTGTATCAGGCATGTGAATAAACGGATTCAGTAATTCCAATCCGCGGATTGTTAATGTGTGTAATAATCTACCAGGGTTGATATCTATGCATTGCCATTGACCTCCTTTGCCTATATTAACATAATGTCAAGTTCATATGTCAAACGTTTTCTACGTTATGTGTTTTTTGCTTCATATGTGACGATTGTATCAGAAACTGGCCCTCGTTCTAATTTTTTATTCTTTATTAAGTACTATTTTTTTTTCTCATATAGTTTGCTTACAGTCTTGAGGATACAAATGACAATTTGGGTGTGCTGTGGTACTACTGACTAGCTTTAAAATACCTTCATATTGTTTTATGACCGAAAATGAGACGACAAAAGTATGGAAACATATTTTTTATTACAAAATTAAATACAATAACTCTACAAAAAGATTTAAAGAATACAGTTTAGCTAATATTTGGTAGCATAGCCTTTAACATTCAACACTGCCTGACATCTGCAGCTCATAGAAGACACCAATGTTTTACAGACGTCTGTTAGGATATTTTGTCAAATATTTTTTAGCGATCCAAAACATCATTTTTTTTTCTATCTTCCGTACCTGGACCGCGTTGCTGTTGATCCGTCTTCTTGATATTTTCTAATAATTTTCGAAATCGTCCCTTTGTTCATTTTACTAATTTATATTATCTGTTCCTTCACAATTTTAATTTAGGTATGTGAAATATACTAAGTGACATATAAATCCGAACACCCAGTTTAAATGGTTTTATTTTAATAAAAGTTGGTGAATGTATTTATCTTACTGTAAATAACAAGTGAAAAAATTTTCAGCCTTATCAGTTGGACATTCCGGTTTTTATACTGCTTTTTTGTAATTCACTAACGCTCTAAAAATGAATACTTCAGCCGCAGTAAAGAATCAACGTTGGCGGATTTTGGTTCTTGACATCCTTTACGATCGGTTACGATGCCTAGAGTACGGAGACCTGTACCATTTCGTCAACTTAGTGAGTTTGATAGGGGCTGTATAGTGCGACTTCGGGAAGCTGGACTTTCTTTTCAGGCAATTGCAGTTAGAGTGCAAAGAAGTGTAGACACTGTGGTTAGGTGTTGTCAGGCATGGCTTCGAGAAGGCCGTACGCAAAGAGCAAGGGGCACTGGACGCCGCCGTAGAACAACAGACCGTGAAGATCGCCGCCTAAGATTATTGGCCTTAAGGGACCAGGTCCATTGCAAATGAATGGTTTGCAGAACACGGAAGACCTATTGGCATGCGAAGTGTTTACCGACGAATGAGAAGTTTTTACTTGTTTTCATACCGGCCACACTGGGTCCTCCCTTTAACTCGAGAACACCGACGTAATCGCCTTGAGTGGTGCAGACAATGGTCACTCTGGGATCAGGAATGGAACAGTATTGTCTTTAGTGACGAGTCTCGATTTTGTTTAGGCATGCACGATGGTCGTGCCAGGGTTAGAAGGCGACGTGGTGAAAGGAGGAATCCACAGTTTTTTGTTGAAAGACATATTCATCACACTGTTGGAGTTATGGTTTGGGGTGCTATAGCTTATGGTTCCAGGTCAAATTTAATCTTCATCAGAGGTAACATGAACGCGCAGCGTTATATCCACGAAGTTCTAGAACCCCATCTTTTACCCTATCTTGACACCCTGGCAGATCCAACTTTCCAACAAGATAATGCCCGACCACATGTTGCAAGAGTTACAATAGACTTCTTTCAACATAATGATGTCACATTGTTACCATGGTCACCAAGATCTCCCGACTTATCCCCAATTGAGCACGTGTGGAATATGATGGGTAGGAGATTGCTCAATTTGCAACATCCTCCTCAGACTCTAGAAGCACTTCGAGAGGAGGTGGTGGTTGCCTGGCATGAGATACCACAGGAGGACATTGACCACCTGATCAGAAGCATGCCTAGGCGCGTTGGAGAATGCGTAGCACATCAGGGTGCATCCACACATTATTAAAGGTCAAAGGGCTTAAAAGCAGTACAATCATTTTGAAATTTTTATCATTTACTTATTATGCTTCATTAAGTACTTATACAAAATTTTATTAAAATAAAACCATTTAAACTGGGTGTTCGGATTTATATGTCACTTAGTATAGTTAATAATAGTGTCCAAACTATTGTCCGCTACTGTATTTGCACTGTACGTGTATTATGTTGAATGTACTGACTTATGAGGTGTATACGTTAGTGAAGCGTTTTCAGTAAAAAAAGGCATGTTGATAAAAAAATTGCCTGAGTAGCGTTTGTAATGACCGATTCAGTTTGAATGTGCAAGTCGGCTAGGAACGGAGCATAGGGATCAACCCTCGTATATCCAAGGTCACCCATGTGTGTTCTATGAGTTTGTGATGTTCTTTGATTGATAGCCTCCACCACCATCGGGCTTGCCTTTCAATGCTCAGCCGATGGCAAGAGACAAAGACGTCCTTCCGAAATCGCAAGAAGAACTCAACGAAATACTGTCCAGGGCAGTTGTTAAGGTCGTAATTCCACAGGACAGGAACCTGATCATGCTTGTACATAGAATGGTAGAATTTGTTGTAAGGGAAGGACCTATGTTTGAAGCTATGATTATGAATAGGGAATTGAACAACCCGCAGTTCAGGTAAAGGTTTATTTTTTTTAAAGTTACCGAAATTTGTTTTCAAAAAATACGAAAATTTTGAAGATCTTTGGTCATTGGTTGATGGTTACACTGTGGTTTTCTTTTTTAGATTCCTGTTTGAAAACCAAAGTCCGGCTCACATTTATTACAGATGGAAGGTATATTCTATCTTACATGGGGACTCGCAAAAAGAGTGGAATACAAAGGAGTTTAGAATGTTTAAAAGTAAGTTTTTGTATATATAAGATATTTCTAAAAATGAATTTAAGCCAAAAATACATGAACACTTTTCAGATGGGTCTGTTTGGAAACCACCAATAATGAACTGCTACACAAACGGTATGCCAGATGAATTGATCAAAGATGACGATATGAAGGATAGTTCAAAAGGCACCCTTTCACATTCGTAAGTATCATTTTTAGCGGAGTACTTTAAAGATGCGTATCGTCCTCTGTAACTTTTTGAAATTTTCTCAAAGGGACCAAAGTCCAAAATTGTGCACTTTGGTTCTTTGAGCCTCTTTGACCGACTTGATCATATTAATATTGTTATACATGTTCGTGGTAACTTTTTCCTCAGAGGGGCTAGTTTACGTTGTATTTTTCCAGGCAACGCGACAGACTAGAAGACCTAATAAGGGGTTTAACACCCGAAAAAACAAAAATAGGCGAAGTGATGGTGTTTTGCATAGAACATAGTGAGGCAGCTGAAGAAATAGCCGAGTGCATAACTGAATCTCTTTCAAATGAATCCACAACTCTAACTAAAAAGACAGCCCGATTGTATCTGGTATCAGATATACTTCATAACTGTCAAGTCAAAGTGAACAAAGCGTATTTTTTCAGAAAGGCGTAAGTATGAGGGTGTGGTCGTACCTTTATTCACTAACCTAAGAACCAAAGAGACATATTCTGTCATTTAACAAGGAAATTTCAGCATATGTGAAAACCATCCTAACTGTATCGAACTTTGTACATCCAGAATTAGCTTCGTTGGCCATAGTGTATTACTTATTTTAGAGTATTTGTCTATTCTTTTCGCCTCTAGGTTTGAAAATAGGCTGGTAGGTATAATGAAGCAGGTGAAACTAACGTATGATAAGTTAGAAGGAAGACTCCAAGCAGAAGGATTCAAAATAAGGGTGCTAAGAACCCTAAAAGCATGGGAGGATACTATTTACCCCAAGGACTTTATGTCGAGACTACACAATACATTTTTGGGAATCGAACCAGAGGTAATGACATTTTACAAGAAGATATACAGGGTTTGTCAGAAAGAACGCATGTTTTTCGAATGGGTACTACATCGAGTGGGCTGGTCGCGTGTCGGTGGGGAAGGGCGGGTCGGATAGTGGGAGAAGTGTCGTTTCAGTTCGCAAGATGGTTTGGAACGTTGAGCATCGTGTGTTCACTGACGTCGGTACTTTCAAAATGACGAGTCTGCCGTTCTTTCGTGTTCCACGTCGTGAAACAGTAGCAATCCTCGGACCCTCGACGATTTGAAGGAGGAAATAAGAAGAGAAGTAACCCAAATTCCTGCACGGATGCTCGTCGACGCAATGGGCTCATTTCGGGAGATGGCCGACATATTTCGTTTTGCTCAGAAAAATGGCATGTATTTCTGAGTATTTTGATATAATGAAATATTTTTCCCATACTTATTTTGACTGTACTACTCATAAAAACATGTGTTCTTTCTGACGGACCCTGTATAACTTAACCCGTTGATTAACATATTCCACCTGAAAATAACCAATTCGGCACCGTCTCACCGCCAACCACTTATGCTCACAACTATACAGGGTGTCCCATTTCAATCTCCCCATTTAAATATTTCGGGGACTACGCATTCCTAGGAAACAGTTTCAAACAACAGTAATTTTTATCAACCAGGAACCAGACGAGAGTCCTAAGCAAGAGGAAGATACTGATGGACTTCCTTTGGATGTCCCAGATTCAGACGTTGACGATGGTGTACCAGTAGATGGTTCTGCATTGAGATCAGCGATGATGCATTACGAAAGTAGCGCCTCTGGAGATGACCCAGATTTGGATGGTAAAGTATTGTTGCTTCAGCGGCATAATGCAGTGCAAATGAATGAGGATTGTAAATAGGGTTTGGAATATATTCATCGAAAATATTGCGGAAAGCATTCTCTACGCGACATATACTATTATTTTAGTCTGAGATCCAGCCTACGCCATGTAGCTCGGGCCACAGAGACAAAAAAAATAGGTAATTCGTGTTTAGCAGGTATCTGAAAGTTTTAAATGAATTTAAATCACAAATACATAAAAACTGTTCTTGGCCAAGACATGGCCCTAGAACATTTTACAAAAGTGATACGGATTCTTGAAGGTTTCAACTTAAAGAATTTATGCAAAATATTATATACAATGTGTTTGGTCACGATATACCGATATTTGAGGGGGATATTTTTCAGCTATTTTTATCGACAAATCCACGTCCCTACAATGTCCTACCTCATCCCCCTTAAAATGGCAGCCATTTTTATTTTTACGTTACGATTACGGTAGTTGCATGTATGAAAATTGGTTAAACATGTTTAATGTTACAGAAGCTGTTCAAAATGTACAGTATTCTAAAATCATGAGAACAGCGTATATGGTATATCATGTTCTGGTTTGCAGGTGAAGAGTTACCAACCGAGGATAGCCAACCAAAACCGCCGTTGTCTGGATTCATCACCTCTAAATGGGAAACAGTAGATCCGGATCAAGTTGAGGCCCAAGCAATGACAACCAGCAAGTGGGACATGCTGGAAAATAGCCAGGATGCTAGTCAAGAAAGCAGCGCCAATGAAAGAGATGACTCTGTTGACTACGGCGATACAAGGTATTTTCTTTGGGGGATAATTTAAAATGTTATACATCAGTACTGGTGAATTAAGAGGGGCGTTTGAAATGTGTACGGCCGAGATTTCATCTGTATAAAAAAATATCGACCAAGAATCGCCCACCTCTCAACCTAGATATATGGTGCTTTTATATTTTTGCAGGTCATATAACTCCACAAAAAGATAATGTTTACCTAGCATCTACTGCTCATAGGAGACACCAATTTTTTACAGACGTCTGTTGGGATATTTTGCCAAATATTTTTTACATAATCGATGAATTGTTACTATTTTTGAAAACATTTTTTGTCAGTTGTCTTTTAACTTGCTCCCAGAGCTGTTCTATAAGGTTTAGGTGGGGGGATTGCGAAGGCCATGCAATTTTTTAGCATTTACCAGTCCCGAATTTTGAGGTATGCTTGGAGTCATTACCTTGCTGGAATGCCCATCGTAAAGGCATTTATTTTTCAGCAAAAGGGAGCATGAATATCTCTGTAAAGTTTTTGATCCATTTTCCCAACAATTTCAACAATTGGATCCGTTCCAGAACTAAAAAAACAGCTCCAAACCATGATGTCGCCTTCACCGTGCTTAACTGTTGGCAACTGATACTTTTTGTCGAATCTTTTTCCTATTGGACGTCTCACTGATGTTAATATTTACTGCACGCAATATCAGAGTATCGCAGAGCGAATAAATACGGCAAAACTGAAATGTTTACAAACTTTTGTCATCACAAAAACTGTGGTATTTAAAAAAAAACGCGTGTTTTTATTTTCAGAGAATTTGAATATTGATAAGATAAACCTTGTAACGGGAGCCAAAGGCAGACTTTATTTATATTATCTGTTCCTTCACAATTTTAATCTAGGTATTTAGAAAATAGTTCATAATAATGTTAATATTTGCTTCCAAACTTTTGTCCGCTACTATATATATATATATATACAGGGTGACTTTGAAGTTGAGTCATTAATTTTCAGATAGTGATTGTAGAAGGAAGATAAACCAAAATATGTGTAAAAATAAAAAAAAAAATAAAAAAAAATGTTTACCTTGTTTTATAAAGTATTCTCCCGACAAGTATTTCAGTGCGGACCTGTATTTGATCGTGAGGTCTTGGAGCACCAGCATGCAGTCCTCTGTGAGGTCTTAAGTCACCTGATTCACGAGCCCGTTGTACTACATTAACAAAGGCACGAAGGGTTGGTTGCACTCGATTGGGAAACCGATCCGCATAAATATGTGCCATTTTTTATTTCGTTTGAGCCACGCAGCAATCACCACTATTCACTCACGCGTTACCGACTGACACAGACTGAATAAAAACATCGTGATCAGCGTTTCAAATTCTTTCGCTTTTTTGTTTCCGATGCGATGAACCGATATATCCGTTATCGCCAAACACGAGCACATAATATTATTATTGAGACATGGCGGTACTCAAACTTCTAAAGGGCTATAACTTTGTTACTTTAATTTTACCACAAAAATGTTAAAGGAAAAAAACATTTCTTTTGATCAGATCTACTCACTGTTAAAATAAATGACTCAACTTCGAAGTATATATATATACATTTTACCCCATATCCTTATGATTCATTTAAAGTTCTATTCATATTTATACATGACTCATTCAAGCGCCCCATTTTACCCCATATCCTTATGATTCATTTAAAGTTCTATTCATATTTATACATGACTCATTCAAGCGCCCCTCTTAAGTCTTCTCTTTTAAAGCTAAAGCTGAGTTTAAACCAGGTTTTAAATTGATTCCTATTAGGTGCTGCCTCCCTTTAAAATCGAGTGTAATCAATTTGAGACTTTTATTATTTTGTAAGTAGATTAGCCATGAAAAATAATCGATTTCCTCGATCAGGGATATGACTGAAGAAAAGCGCCAAAAATTGAGGGAGATTGAAGTAAAAGCTGTCCAATACCAAGATGAGCTTGAATCGGGCCAGAGGCAGTTGAAGAGTGGTTGGACTTTACCTCAGCAGGTAGAACATTACAGAAGGAAATTGTTGAGAAAATCGGAAAAGGAGAAAAAAGAGAAGATCGAAAAATTGTCAGAAAAGAAGCACAAAAAGGAGCGGGATTTCGACAGAAGTGAAAGAAGGGTCGTTGTCGAGAGTTCTGACGATGAACAATACTATAAAGACGCGTAAGTTGACGATCTATTAATTAATAGGTTAGTGTTAGAAACTGTTGGTTGTACATCTGCTTGAAGAACATAGTGCACATAATAAATAGTCCGGTGGTTAGAAAATTTGACAAACGTTGAAGATGGAAATCTTGCTACAGCAGCGATACACAATCAGATTTAATATTTAACAGCTGCTCCCTGAAAATGTTATCCAAATCTAGTTAAGATAAATTAGTCGTAATTTATGCGATGTTTTCCCCATGCTAGGGAATATTGAAGCATACTCACTCATGTTGAATTAGCATCCTGAAATCAACCATCGATGTTTCGACGAGTTTTCTATAATGGGTTCATCAACGCTGCCAGATGGTTTGAAACTAACTTTTTTCCTTTATGAACTGATGATAGCGTCGCGTAAGAAGTGCAGATAAACCACCTTTGTTTCAAAATATGTATTTTTTTTCGAGGGAAAACCCTTGTGATTAAGGCGAACGGTTCCCTAGCAGTTTTTCCCAGGCGAAGCTGAGATTTGATATCTCTGACGTTCCATTTTCGCCATCTTGACAAATGTCGTGAATTGCTACATTTATGGAAAAACATCATTTAGCTGAGAAAATGTTTCTTTTGACGGTGATATTGAACAAACAAATCAATAAGTAGCTTTTTTACAAGAGGATCTTGGTATACATTTTTATGTTTGGATTTTTATAGTGCTTCTAGGAAAAGCAAAAAACATGTGCGAAGCTCATCAAGTGGTTCTACTACCAGGCGCAGGTAACATACGTACAATCTGTATTATCATTTTCAACTAATGAACTGGTTAGCCAGTTTAAAAATAGTATTTATAGAATATAGATTACTTATTTTTTGAACGGACAAAGTTAGTAAGCGGAAATTGGGGGTAATAAAAGTAACCCTAAATATTATATTTTAGCGTGAAAGTGAACATTTCAAAATGGTGGGTGGGTGTCTTGATTTTTTTTTAATGGAATGCAATATGATATTTCATTTTGAGTATTTTATAACTTTGGAGTTGAATCGCTTATAACTCGACAGCCATTCATCAAAACTCTATACTAATCTTCTCTTGGAAGGATCTATCCGAGTGTATACAGTAGCAGAGAAAAGTTTGGAAATATTCTTAGTAATTTTTAAAAAGTACGCCATTTTTTTATTCTTTATTACTAAGCACTATTTTTTTCTCATAGTTTGCTTACAGTCTTGATGATACAAATGGCAATTTGAGTTTGCTGTGGTACTATAGACTAGTATTAAAATACCTTCATATTATTTTATGTCCAAAAATGAGACGACAAAAGTATAGAAAAATATTTTTTATTACAAAATTAAATACAATAACTATTACTATATACTATACTATTTGCTAGCATATCCTTCACCATTGAACACTGCCTGACATCTGCTGCTCATAGAAGATACCAGTTTTTTACAGACGTTTGTTGGGATATTTTGTCAAATATTTTTTACATAATGAAATAAATCGTTCCTATTTTTAAGTTTTTCTTGTCAGTTGTCTTTTAACATGCTCCCAGAGATCTTCTATAGGGTTTAGATCCGGGGATTGCGAAGGCCATGTAAGAACATTAACATTTTTTAGTCTTAACCAGTCCTTTACTAATTTTGAGGTATGGCTGGGGTCATTATCTTGCTGGAACGTCCATCGTAAAGGCATTTATTTTTCAGCAAAAGGGAGCATGTGTTCACTAAGAATATCTTTGTAAAGTTTTTAATCCATTTTCCCAACAATTTTAACAATTGGATACATTCCAGAACTAGAAAAACAGCCTTAAATCATGATGTTGCCTCTACCGTGCTTAACTGTTGGCAACGAATAAATACGGCAAAACTGAAATGTTTCCATACTTTTGTCGTTACAAAAACTGTGGTATTTGAAAAAACGCGTGTTTTTATTTTCAGATAGTTTGATTATTGATACGATAAACCTTGTATCCAAGCTTTTGTCCGCTACTGTAGTATCTAAATCTCGTCCCCTGTAATATTATTACAAATAAAAAAGGCGTTAATTATTATCATTTGTCTATAATAAAAGTAATAATTTTAGGTCAAAGAGCCGGTCCCCATCATCATCTCGCAAACGTCGTTGCAAAGCGATCACACCTCCAAGTCCTCCACGAATCCGACCCTCCCGATCCACTCGCAGACGTGATTCTGTCTCCCCTACAGGATCTACAGACAAATACAGCCCTAAAAGGCACAGAATAGCCACACCATCGCCACCTCGCGCCTCTAAACACAGCCGCAGGTCCACGTCGCCAAGGAGCGGTCACAGCAGTCCCAGGTCCAACTCGTCGCGGTCAAGGTATCATTCACCAGAACCCAAGAAACACAGACATAAACATAAATATTAGAGACTTGTTTTAAAAATATCACTAGATCTATACTGTAGCAAAGAGGAGGTAAATCAAGTGAGGACATTCCTTTGAAGTCTGTCATTTTTAGACCAGGCTCCCCAGATGCGTCAAATACGACGATTTGTCAAATAAGCAATTTGAGGCTGTAATGTAATATTCCGCGTAGAGCCCTAAAAGTAAAATTTTGTATTCATAATGCTCGTGAAACAGTAGTTTACTATATTCCAAAATATTCGACCACTTCATTTTTTTCATTAATTATAGTCACCTAAATTCATCATAAAAAAGTCAGCTGTAATTTTACCCGCCTTGTTTAGATGTCTTCTCTTATTATACCTCTTTTTGGTTGTATTGCAATAGAATGCAGCTGAAGGTTTACCTATATATGGCGATTTAATATTTAGTCCATTTGAAATGTTTTCTGTAAGATGCCAAAATTCGATTTTTGTGATGTTTTTCAGCTAATTCTATTGTACTACTATGAGACGTATGTTACAAGCATGTGCTCAACACTGTTAATGTCTGATTCGCTCAGAAGTGTTGAATTTCCTGTATAAAGTTGTACTTCAAAGCTTCACTCTATACATTTCATTTGTTTCAGAGCAAAAAATCGTAGATTTGCATTTCAGAAGTGATACAGAGTGAGCCAACCACGCATAAGACAAGAAATCATTTTTTTTCAAACTTCATGTATTATAGTATTGTAAGATTATTTAGTCCTATCATTGATCTAGTATCAAAGTTCATTTCCTTATGAAATGCCTCTGTTGTTTTGATAAATCTTTTTAAGACAAGAACAAAGATGAAAGTGATGCGTGGAGCACCTTGTACTTATTCACTTTTAGCCATCTCTAAATTATGTTTTTAATACCATGTTAAAGGAATTTATTATATATTTGATTATAACTTTACACAAGCTATATGTTAAAATTATCTTTATTATATCATAGTGTAAAAAGTAATGCATTTTTTGATTATAATACTTTATATCCCATAAAGTGTTTTATTTACCCAATAAAACGATTTGTTGAAAAACAAAGCATCCTCCGCCTTGCATGCATTCAAACGCACGTTGCCAAATTGTTATAGTCGTAACTCAAAGTAACGAATACAATAAAGGATTACGTTTTTATTCATCTGGCAACACTGTTTACTGAACGGATTTCAGCAGCTCAAGGTAGTCATTCAAAATGGTGGACCTTATGGTAGCTACCGACATGCAGCGCCATCTATCGGAGAGTAGCCGCCACAAAAAAAATTCGTTTAGTTGGGCTACCATCCGATAGATGGCGCTTCTATGTAAAGTGCTATCACACACCTCACAAAATTTAACTAGTCAAAAAGATCCTTTAGGGGTGGTTGGTCGGGGTCTATGGCAACGAATCTGCAATGATCAAGGATCTTAAATTTCCGTGAGGGGGGTTAAAATCCCCCCATTTTTTGATTAAATTAGTTTATTATATTCTAATATTACGTATTGGATTTGGCTTTGTTGAAAAACAAAGCGTCCTCCTTCTTGCTTGCATTGGGGTTCACTGAACGGATTTTGGCAGCCCAAGGTAGGCATTCAAAATGGTGGACCTTGTGGTAGCTACCGATATGCAGCGCCATCTACTGGAGAGTAGCCGAACAAAAAATATATTCTTCCGTAACCTTTCTTGGATGATCTTAAGCTGTACATTTTCAACTACGCAAAACAAATCTTTCGTCAACGCACCTCTTAAATTTCCGTGACGAGGTTTAAAAATCCCCCATTTTTTGACGAAAAGATTATTTTGTTTTGATTAGTTTATTGTACTCTCAAATATGACACAGAAAGAACGCCTGCCTACTCAGAACAATTCGACGAATGACATATGCCGCCATGTTTCTTCCAACGACACACGGCGGTGCTCTCATGTTTGCCCTACTTTCTCACATTGTCAGTCATTAGTGATTAGTTGTTTTGAATGGTTTTCCTAATAAAAGTTAATTTTGCATTTGGAAAAACAATTCAAACTTTTTTCCACCACGAAAGACGTTGCCAGATTTCCTGTGTTGCGTCTTGTCAGGTCACAGTTGACCCCACATGGGTGAACGGACTTTAGCAGCCCAAGATAGTCATTCAAAATGATGGACTTTGTGATAGCTACTGATATGCAGCGCCATCTATTGGAGCGTAGCTGAATAATAAATACATGGTGTCCCGAAAAAGGTGTGCAATATTCTACCAGCGGTTTCTAGAGCTTAAAATAGGAAGAAACGTTTATATAAACATAGGTCGACAAACGTCCCCTAAGGGCGCTACGGTCTTTTAAAGGGGCTCCCCTGAAGATGGTTTTTCCTTAATATTTCCGAAACGTGTTTTGGAATCCTAGCCTAGTTTTTTATGCTGGATTTAAAAATATTAACAATTTTAGACAGTTTTGTTTGGAAGTGCGTGTAACAGGTTATCTGAGCCCCAAAATTTTTGTGATTCTATTTTTGAAAACCAATTTTAGAATTTGAAAATTTAGGGTTTTCTACATAAAAAAGGTACTCTTATTATTATTATTATATTACTCGTAGATATGGAATTACCTGCTCTCGGAATAAAAAGAAATACACGATTTGACCTATCACATATATTTCACACTTACATGTCATTTCAAAAAATATTAAACTTTTCAAGTATTATTAAACATACATTCAGACTGGTTCAATAATCTTGACATAGTACGTCTACATTGAAAGGGAATAAAATAAAGATGAAAAACATTCTAGATATATATATTTCAGGTTTTTAAAACTTAAATAAAGAAAATGAGAAAAATAACAAAATATAAAATTATTACAATACGTTTGTACTTGGGATAATATACACTTCAAGTGTATTGCACCAATGTATAAAATAAAAGCTAATAGAATACACGCGTTCTATTAGTTGGGTTTAAAAGAAAAAAAAAACGTATTCTTTCAGCTCCCAAAAAGTTTTTTTTTGCTCATCATGCCTTAGAGTCTACCTGGCAACGAGATGCAAGATCGGCTAATGGTAGATTTCCCAATACATGGGTGTCAAAGATGATATGCAATATATTGTTTCTGATACATCTACTGGTTGTATTCAGGGCTAGAATTTGACTGGAAGGATCGGGGCCACAAACCTTGTACGAAGGCTCAATATTTCTTGAAAATATTTATTGTTTCTTAAAAGTATCGGATTTTCCAATAGGGACTTAACTTTGAACTTTCACCGTGAACGCAACGCAAAGAAAACATTTTCCTCATGGTGAACGAATAACGCTTACAAATAATTAAAATTTCGTACCGAAAGGTGCATCTGATGCACATATGGACGATACATAAATTTTTCAATCCAACAAAAAAATTTCCGAGATGTCTCAAATGGTTTTCGTTTTATTTAAAAAGAAAGTTGTCAAGCCCTTAATGCAATGCCGTTTTAAATAAAGCATATTAAATAGACCAAAACTTTTATAAGCAACTGGAATTAATCCAAAAGGAGTCTATTCAAATACAGTTCTTGTCCTAGTGTCTGTTTTTGTGTCTTAAGGTGTAAAATAAACGCCGAAATGTTGGGAATCGAAACACCAGCTTTTTATCCCAAGAATCCGATGAAATCAAAAGTTTATTTAAGTTTGAACCCCGGGCCGCCCGGTTCCTAAAATTCTTAGTTTTCTGTAAAAGCACCGAAAAGTAAATTTTTCATTTCCGAGTTGAAAAACTTTCAGTTTCAGCAAGCATTTGTAGGGTCAGGGACTCCTGATTTTGCTAGGCGCTGTCACAATACACCTTTTGCAAAATTGGATGGTGTGGCAAAAATATTATTGACAAATATTGCAAGATTTCTGAGACACGACATGTACTTTGTAGTATTTGAAGCTCCATAATATTATTCATTATGGCACAATTTTCTTCAACACAAGATAAATCAGCAACTTAAAAAATAATATGCGTTATAATATCATAGTTTTAGTAAGCTCTAGCCATTATCTAGAATGTTTTTTAAAGGCAAATCATAATACCAGGTATAGGCCTGCAATGAAAATACGCAGCTCACAAAAAATGTACTTTTGAGTCACTGATATAATTAAATTTTTGTATCATCCCATAGGGACCTGAATACAATGTTCCTTGGAACCTTACATATCAGAAATACTACTTGAACAAATGGCTAATTTTCTCCTTTCACGTATATACATCATTCAATTTTACAGTATAATATAAATGTTGTTTGTGTATACCTGATGAAGAGAATTGCCTTAGAAATTTGTCTTACTACCCAACCTTTGCCACATGAAGTACTGTCTGTATTTTCACTTATCATCGTCAAAGCGGAATGTACTGCAATAGTAATTTGACCTTTCAAATGCCATTATATCCAAAGTCAAAACGTTCATTTTACAAAATTTAAACACGTCCACTGCAAGTCTAACGTGTTTGCCTACATATCTCGGTATATAAGTATTAAGCAAAAATAAATTGCTGTTTGTTAGGTGGTGAAATTCAATGATGCTAAATGTCCTCAATTAGTTTTTTGTTAACAAACATAAGTACGGCTCAGAAATTGTGCGAGAATATTCCTCTTTTATGGAAAAATGAAACGAGTGATTACTTTGATTTCCTTGAAGCCTCGTCTTGCAGCAAGTTGAGTGTTCGAGAAAAGCAAAGATGTTTCGAAAAGGAAAAGTGATAAGAACAAAAGGAATCACTTGTTTCATTCCTCCATAACACAGGAATATTCACACACAATTTCAGAGCTGTACTTATGTTTGTCCCGATTGAAGAAAAAAATTCATTTTTTGACAAAAACATTGATTTGTACACACCATGAAATTATCAGATGAAAAAGATTTAGAATACTGCTGAAAAAGGGACGTGTCACCTTAAGGTACACTGACAAATATCGAATGATGACCATAAAGTAAGGATTTGAAATTGATTTGAATTGTATACCAAAAGACGTATTTAAATAATGACTATGTCGTAGGCAAAAAAAATATGAAAAATAAGTGTTATACAGCCTACATATCTCCGGAGACAGAGTACTTTACGCCCTTTTTCCAATATGAAGAACAATTTTGTTTAAAATAGTTTTTTTTATACTGAACATCACATCTAGCAAATACGTTCTGGAATACTTTTTATGGCAATTCACTTCACTATAATAGACAAATTTGTCCATAGTATTATACGCAGTGAATCAAAATATATAAACATGAAATTATGATCTCAATTCGATCAAATGAATAGCAAGGTTTATAATCGAAATTCGTAACGTGGAGACATCTAATTTTTGGTCAAATGTAGATGGTACCCAATCATTGACTTTACCTGCTCATTGCAAATAATTATTGTGAAATTATCACGAACACCTTGTTTTCCATAATGATGCTACAAACATCAGCAAACATTTTTAAAAAACTATGCAATAAATAATTTATATACCAAATATTGGTTTTAAACGCATTTTTTGCATCAATCTGTGATATTTTCCAAAATATAAAAATGATAATATGTATAGAAACTGAGTTCTGCAATATTCTAGCAAATTTCCATACCACATTGGGGCAGAAGAAATTTTGTTACATTCAATAACATTTCAGAGAAAGTTATATCAAGCATATTTCAAAAGATTAGGTACCATTTGAAACCCTATCTATTCTAATTTTCTATCATATTAGTGCTTTGCATGGAGTAGAAAACATTACAGATATACCATACTTAATGCCATGCATACAAAGTGTTGATAATTTTAATACCCTATCCAACAATATCCTGGACACGCGAGATTCTACGTCACTGGGATAAAATTTGTCTTTTTATAGAAAGTTTACAGCAAAAATAGCCAGATAGAGCTGTAACAGGTGTGAGATACGCCGAGGTTAAATTTGGCCGACGTCGTAACGTGTACGAGAGAAAATCGTGCAATATGTAACACAGGGTGCTATAAAAGTTTGCGATGACCGCATATTGAGACGCGTCCATGAGTGCATAGTAGCCGCAAGGCGCACGTCTGTTGATTTAATTGTTCATTCGTATCGTGGTGACGTAGAGCAGCCAAAGGGGCAATTTCACTTTGGAGGACGCTCAAAACAAAGTTTGGGTCTTTGATGAGGACACACCCGCAGCTGTCAAAAAATCCCGGATCTTTCAAGAGAAAAATGATAGCTGCATTTTTCAAATCGAGAGGGATAGTCACAGCTAAGTGATACACGGAACAATGCTTAGTGACTTTGAAGGAAGTCAATAAATAAAGCAGTATTGCAAAACTTTTATACCCTTTGTAGTTTTCAACTATCCTGAAATTTAACGTTCAACTGTCAAAATGATAATGGGTGTCCTTTCTTTAGCATCAATCGCCTAGGGAGAAAAAACTCCGTCTGACTGGAGGATTGTGATTAATAATGGGCATTTCTCAGGTTAGTAGAAATACTAATTTTACAGAAAATTAATCGTGATTCCGCTGGCCAAACCCGTGTTGAAACAAAAGCCAAGTAATAGAATCTAATTTTACCTTGTAAAATTAATGTCTCAAATGCCACGTTATGTATTTCAGTGCCGGTAATGAGCGTATGGAAAGGGCAGTGAACTATCAACAGATTGCATACCACTTACTAGATGTATCATAGCACACAAAATAGTTTTTATAAGTACGCGTTTTAGCTCATCTTTAGTACACTATCACAGTCATTCAGACCTGGCGATTTAGGCAGAAATGTCCGAAAAAGTTCAACCAGTCCTTGACAGATATAAATTTATATATAATACGCATCTGAATAAAAATTTGTTAATTGTCCTTCACAAATATCAGCATCACAATGAAACATATAATGGGAATATAAAAAGTCACAGCAGCTCAAAAATTATCACAAAACGATTCGCTCAAGTAACATACATGGAATTCTCGCGGTTCATGTAGTTGCTATTGTAGGCCAAAATCGGGTAAGCCAACACCGTATTCAGCAGATCATTATGGATTTCCAACGAATTCGTAGCATAATGCAAAACCAAATCTTTCAAAGACGGATAAATATTGTACGGTTCTGTAAATCCCAAACCTTTTGGTGTTTCATTTATGATGCAATGGTTTGGACTTCCGTTGCATACGACAGAAAGGGCGTACTTGTTTTGCTGTCTGGATTTCCTGACCAAAAAAGTACCATCCGGTTTACCTTCTAGCAACCTTTGGGCGTCCTCCCTGGAACAGTTCAACATCAACCAGGTGTGTTCATCATTATGTGGTAACGCGTCGATGTCAACCTCGCAATCTTCGGAGTTGTCATCGACGTGCTTATGCAGAATCTGATTGATTTTTGTTGCTGAATATCCTCTCATTTGCAACCACCTAATGTGCTTGTCTCTCTCGCGAAGCAAATTGTGTATCTCAGGCTTGAGCGCGGTCAGTTCCCTTTCTAATACTTTCTTGTACGCTTCCTTTTGCTTCAAAATTTCCTCCAACTGCTCGCAACTTTCCGACATCAAAGCTAAGCGTTTCTTCAACAGTTCATAGTTGAATTCGAGACTTTTTATCTCGTGAGGCTGGGCTTCGCTCTGAATCTTCTCTTGGATAATTGTTTGATCTCTGAATACTTGCACGAGTTCTTTCAGTGCATCCAACGCGTGCCTTTTCGTTTGAACTTCCGTGGATGTTTCGTTGAAGTCCTTGGATACGCCTTCTGAAAATTTGTTTTTCTTCGCCAATGTTTTGTTGATTAGTATCAATTTTTCGACCAGCTTTTCGACTTTCTCGGATTTGGCTAGCTCTTCCTCTTGGTTGTTCCTGGATAGCGGATACATGAGCTTGATGTCCAAAGAAGCGTTGTACTGAGATAAAGAATCGTTGCGGAAATGTTCAATCAGTTCGACGACAGACTGGAAGGTATATGGTTCTGTAAAACCGTACATGCCGTTTCTGTGGCAAATTTTGATCAGCTTATTCGCGCCGCCTTTGCGCAAAGTAAGCGTATATTCGCCGCACTTGTTAGAGGCGTCTCGTACCAAGAATGTCCCGTCAACGGTATCAGCCAGCACCTCATTCACTTCCTCCCGCTTGATGTCGCCCCAGTACCATTCGGCGTCTTGGAGCGACACTGGTACCGCAGGTTTCTCCTTCTCCCTTTCCACCATGCTGTGGTAAACGGTTCCACTGGCACCAGCGGAGGTGGCTCCGGTACCGCCCATCAGCGATACCTTCCTCGGGGGTATGGCGGGGGCTGACGCAAACTCGGGAAGTGTCTCCCCCCAATCACAGTAAAGTAGCAGTAGTTCCACGATTCGGTTGTGCGCCTGGGTGTTGTAAACCACTTGGCTGAAAAAGTGAAATAAACGCAAATTAATACAGTGGTTTATCTACTTCTTTTCAGAAAATTTCCGACTCGCTTTTCTTTTATATTCACGGTTCTTGGTTACATCGTAACATCAATCAAGAGGTTGCTTATGCTGTTCGTAATGTAAAAAAATTCAGATCAACAACGTCGTCCACTCCAGAAATATTTTCCTGATTCCGAAATTATGACATCCTTATGTTATTTCTGTCTTTTTAATATTGACACTGTTTTTTTAACCGCTCTGTATTCGTGCACTCCAAGAGTAAATTTTCAACAGCTTATCTGCAACGTTACGAGATAAATGCGAAGATAAAAAAGTATTGACGTATGTTGTGGATTTCGCAGACATTTTGCTTGTAAATCAAACACTCACATAATTCGTTCCCATGGCGGTCTCAAGAAAATGTGGCACATAACTTGCACCAGAACTGTAGGCGGACTTTTATTCCCTCTGGCGTATTCCAGCTGACAAATTCTGCACAAATGGCCCATAATGAACTTCAACGTCGACTTGTGGTGATCCGGCAATTCCTCTACCAAATGCCTCAGAATCGACGTGCATTCTTCGTCGTTTTTCTTTTTGTTAGCCTCCAAAAACTTGTCGTACCTGGAACACACGAGAATGCATTGAAAATAATCAGTCGCAAAAACTGTCATTTGCAAATAAACTAGCTTTAATGGGCTTTTTGGGGATTTCATTTAGTATTTGGGTTTACAAGTTTGAAATATCGAATAACCTTCATAGTTATAATGGGCTTTTTGGGGATTTCATTTAGCATTTGAGTTTTACAAGATTGAAATATCGAATAACCTTACTAGTTTTAATGAGCTTTTTGGGGATTTCATTTAGCATTTCAGTTTTACAAGACTGAAATATCGAATAACCTTACCAGTTTTAATGGGCTTTTTGGGGATTTCATGTAGCATTCGAGTTTTACAAGATTGAAATATCGAATAACCTTACTAGTATTAATGGGCTTTTTGGGGATTTCATTTAGCATTTGGTTTACAAGATTGCAATACCGAAAAACCTTACTAGTTTTAATTGGCTTTTTTGGGATTTCATTTAGAATTTGAGTTTACAAGATTGCAATATCGAATGACCCTACTAGTTTTAATCGTTTTTTTGGGGATTTCATTTAGCATTTCAGTTTTACAAGACTGAAATATCGAATAACCTTACCAGTTTTAATGGGCTTTTTGGGGATTTCATTTAGAATTTGAGTTTACAAGATTGCAATATCGAATGACCCTACTAGTTTTAATCGTTTTTTTGGGGTTTTCATTTAGCATTTCAGTTTTACAAGACTGAAATATCGAATAACCTTACCAGTTTTAATGGGCTTTTTGGGGATTTCATGTAGCATTCGAGTTTTACAAGATTGAAATATCGAATAACCTTACTAGTTTTAACGGGCTTTTTGGGGATTTCACTTAGCATTTGAGTTTACAAGATTGCAATATCGAATAACCTTACTAGTTTTAATGGGCTTTTTGGGGATTTCATTTGGCATTCGAGTTTTACAAGATTGCAATATCGAAAAACCTTACTAGTTTTAATTGGCTTTTTGGGGATTTCATTTAGCATTCGAGTTTTACAAGATTAAAATATCGAATAACCTTAATAGTGTTAATGGGCTTTTTGGGGATTTCATTTAGCATTCGAGTTTTACAAGAATGAAATATCGAATAATCTTCACAGTTTATCGGATCTGGATGAAATTTGGAACATAGATAGCTTATAAGTCTGGCAAAGCACATAGGCTGCATTTTATTCCGGAAAATATCTTAAGTTGCTTGCTTAATCTGATATGACATGTGTCTGGTGCAGAAACACTCAGTCGCTGGTCTGACCGAACGAGTATATAAATAGAATATTTGCATCGTCCATTTACTGCATTAATTTTCTTTTCGTAGTCGTCTTGATTTAGATTTGTGTGGTGCCTTGTTTCACTCCCAGAATACAACTGTGAATAAATACATGCCACACAGGGTGTGAGATACCTCGCTTTACTGTGATTATAATTACACATATGATAAGTTATTGTTGAATCAAAAATGACCATTGACAAAATAACTACTTCGTTACACTTCGTTACTCTGAATATTGCATTTCTTTCTCCAAAATCAATCTCTTTTGCCCTAATGCATTATGAATGAGCTGTAAAATACTTCCACCCTAGCGGAGCCGCGGGTATAGGCTAGCTGATATTAATGAAAAAACAACCTTAAAAACTGTTTTTGACTTAAGCTGTTTAAATGGAGTCAAGAGGACAAAATAATCACATTACTACATGTATTCGAAAATCAGTCGCAGACTTATTTATGCAATGAACGTCCATTGACCCATCGGCCTTTAACAAGTTTTCAAAAAAAGGAAATATGCGACTCAAGTTGTTTTTGAAACGAATGATTTCTTTACCATACTTTAATTAATGCAATATATGTAAATTCTTCAGTCTAAGAAAGTGCTATAGTCCGAGGCAGCGATGCTTTGATCAGATAACGGATTGAAACGTGAAAATACCTTTCTAATGATTTATCGCTATCGGTTGTACCTAAAACCATGCATTTTGTATTGCTAAACGACAGTGATACTATTAATAATTATAAACACGTTTTGTTGGAAACCACTGCGAGAATTGCTGAACTGTACGCGTAACGGGAAACGTTTTTTTCGCAAGAAGAGCATTTTTCATAATTTTGCGACGTAATAACCAGGCGAAAATTGCGAACTTTATACTGGTGTGAACGTCTACAATTTCAACCTTGAAAAACTATCAAGTTTGCTAAATTCTGTACAACCGCGGATAACAAAGTGAGTCTCAGGTGAACAATTTGATTTTCGCAAATTTAGCATTCAACGCATTATTGAAAAAAATATGAAAGCTTCAATCTAAAAACAGGTTACATCCATTCGAATAATTTTTTCGAAACCCTGTGTTTGAAGAAATTTTGTTTTAGGTATACAGGGTGTTTGGTACTAGTTCAATTTCTTTTCATTTTGCAGGATTTCCTGAGGCCCAACTGAGTTACAGAAATCTCCTCTATGATCTTTAAGGCAACCCCAATAAAAAAAATCCAATGGATTTAGGTCTGGAGATCTGGCTGGCCAATGCACAGAACCAAGACGTCCAATCCACTTTCTTTGACTGAGTTCAACAAAGCATTTTTTTAGCTCGATACAAAGTTCCACATAGCAAAATCATAAGCAACGAGTAATTATCGGAGTAACGTCAAGTAAATCCACTATGAATTGGTGGTAATTCCAGAAGACTAGTAGGCCGTAATTATGCAAGTTACTGTAAAAAATCATTATCATGATTCGATTAAGGAATAAGGATAGGATTGATGTAATGGCATCTATTTATTAAATCGTCTAGACTAGTTCACGTTCTTTTCATTTTGCAAGATTTCCTGAGAGGCCCATCTGAGTTACAGAAATCTCCTCTATAATCTTTAAGGCAACCTCAATAAAAAAAATCCAATGGATTTAGGTCTGGAGATCTGGCTGGCCAATGGACAGAACCAAGCCGTCCGATCCACTTTCTTTGACGGAGTTCAGCCAAGCATTTTTTTCCAAGTAAATTGACTATGAATTGGTGATCATTCCAGAAGACTAGAAGGCCGCAACTATGCACATTACTGTAAAAAATCATTATCATGATTCGATTAAGGAATAAGGATAGGATTGGTGTTGTAATGGCATCTATTTATTAAATCCTCTAGACTAGTTCAAGTTCTTTTCATTTTGCAAGATTTCCTGAGAGTTTCAACCGAGTTATAGAAACCACCTCTATGATCTTTAAGGCAACCTCAATAAAAAAAATCCATTGAATTTAGGTCTGGAGATCTGGCTGGCCAATGGACAGAACCAAGGCGTCCAATCCACTTTCTTTGACGGAGTTCAGAAAAGCACTCAATTTAGTTAAAATTTGGACTCATCGATTAATGTAAAAAATCATATTACATACCATTGGACTGGGATCAGAGGATCTGGGAGCTCTCTGAGGTATTTCTTGAAGACGTTCGCTATAACCACTGGCGAGTATTCTGTCAAGCTGACGTTGTTTGGGTTTTCTTCAATTTTCTTCACCAACGCTTGCAGTTGGTCTGACGGCGACGTGGCGCAATACAAACTGTATAATTCTAAGGTTTCGTTAGCTTTGGCTCTTTTTTCAAGTTCGGCGGTGCATTTCATCAACAGCTCCGGAGCTGGATGGTCGCTCACCTTGAACTGCATGCACAAGCCTTGCCCAAAGAACGACCTGTAAAATAAATCAATTTTTCGTCATATCTTCCAGGCATAAATCAAAGAAACCACGAAAACGCCATCCAACATACGAACATACGAAAGCGGGCCGATGAATGCTCAGCTATCTATCGTGTACATTTTCGCAAAAATTGGTTTCACGTGGTCGCACGTCGGTTTCTGGTGTGCCACGCCCAGGTGAAAACGGCTGCCACGGGACAAAAATCCGCGATCTTTAATCGGGTTAAAGAAGTTAAGGCATCGCTGGGTCACGTGGTCACGTTTTTCTTTTGTAGGCTAAGTACTTATCGAATGTTTCAATTTTTGTTTATTGTACGATGTTTCCGGCACCACGGCGGTCTTTTTCAAGTACAATGACAATTGATGACAGAATATTTATAAAAAAATATTGTCAATCAAAAATATACAGTAGCGACGAAAGTTTAGAGACAAATAGTAACACTATTTCCTATATACCTAAATTAAAATTGTGAAGGAACGGATAATACAAACATTAAAGTCTACCTTTGGCTCCCGTACAAGGTTTGTCTCATCAATATTAAAATTCTATGGTAATAAAAACGCATTTTTTTAAATACCACACAAAAGTGCGGGAACATTTCAGTTTTGCCAGATTTAACCCTTCTGCGATACTCTGATATTGCGTGCGGTAAATATTAACATCAGTGAGAATGGCAAAAGTAACAGACAAAGTAATTGAATTGTTTAGGAGTAGTGTCAGAAATGTTGACATTTCTCAAAGATTAAAAATGAACATAGAGACGATTTCGAAAATTATTAGTAAATATCAAGAATAAGGAACAACAGCAACGCGGCCCAATAAAAACCGATTATGTTTTGGATCGCTACATTAAAATCCTCGAATGCCAGCCAACATAGATTTTCAAAAGAATCGTAGAAGAGGAAGCCGGGAATCTTTCTGTCAGAACAGTGCAGAGACGCTTGGTTGATTGAATTTGCTAAAACTCATCTAACTTGGAGAGAACAAAAGTTTTGTGGAGCGATGAAAGCACATTTAACTTTTTTGGATCTACGGCATATGTGAGACGTGCAATACGAAAAAGTATCAGTTGCCAACAGTTAAGCACTGTGGGGGCAACATCATAGTTTGGGGCTGCTTTTCTAGTTCTGGAACTGGTCCAATTGTAAAAATTGTTGGGAAAATGGATCAAAAACTTTACAGAGAACACATGCTCAATTTTGCTGAAAAATAAATGCCTTTACGATGGACATTCCAGCAAGATAGTGACCCCAAGCATACCTCAACATTCGTAAAGGACTCGTAAAGACTAAAAAATGTTCTTACATGGCCTTCACAATCCTCGGACCTAAGCCCTATAGAATATATCTGGGAGCATGTTAAAAGACAACTGACAAGAAAAACTTGTTCATCCTGCTCTACAGTAACCTGTCTTCCACGAGTGCGAATATTAGTGGGCTGAACACGTCCTGTATCTCGAAGCCTTTGGTACACTTGCACAAATGTCCTACTGTCTGGGTGTACCCGTTGGCGAAATCTCTCGCGATAAATTTGAGCTGAAGATTCGAGCTTCACCGTAAACTAACATGTCGGCGAACTCTCGATTCGAGAACATTGTAAATAAACACGACGACGTACGCGAACAATAACTAACCACTGTTACCGTTTGCGATCGATTGCCGGTTCGATAACAGTGATGAAAGATCGACGCGCTGTTGTCATATGTGTTTTAAATATTTAATTTAATGGAACTTGCTTACTGACTACAAATTTTGGCTTAACTTTTACACCCTGTATGAGGAAAAAATAGCATTTTTTAAAAATCACTAAGAATGTTTCCAAACTTTTGTCAGCTACTGTAGGTGGTTTCTGTAAGTTTCTGGAGAGGCATTATTTCGTATCTTCTAGTGGTAATGCGTATACGTACCTGAATTGAATGGAATGCGCCCCGCTCACTGGTCGATGGGTGCAAGACGGCAGCCCGGTTGCCGCGCAACCTCGATGCGCTATCAAGCTGCAATCCTGACAGACGAAACCTTGGTGTATAATGCCTCTTAAATACTTATTACACTTATCACATCTTTCCAAGGAACTGAAACTGTGCTGGGTCAAGTTGTGCGGATACTTGGTAGCTCCTGTCTCAACTGTCTCTTCTTCATTGTTTGTTAAAGCTTTGTCGTCGGGTTTCTTCAGCAGCTCGTCAATGCAGGTTAATATCGCCTTCTGATGGAACTCATCTTTTATTCCCATAGCCTAGGAATAAAAAAAAAATGATCAATCAAAAAGCTTTGCACAGTGGTTACAGAATCAAACATCCCGCAAACTTGGGGTTTTCCTTTCCAGACACAACTACGCTTGATATGACAAAGCTAATCTATGGTGAAACGTGAGCGAACAAGTAAAGAAATAAATGAAAAAGTAGTCACCGTTCAGATCAATCGAAATTCCAAGTACGGCTCTGTCGCAAAATCCGTATTTACATCGTAGCCGTACGTCGTATCACTGTACGCTGGCGCTGTGGACGTGATCGAGGGATAGGACAGGACCGGCTTCGGTTTGGTTCAGGTTTGATTAAGTTTGCGGTTCTCTGAAGACATTGGCGCTACTAAAAAACTAGTTTGATATGCTGAGGTCGAAGATTCATCGGACCTAAGTGAACCTACCTAATCACGATTCGATTGCGCCTTGTGAAACAATTTGACTTTCTTTGAACGCGTAGGGAGTATAGAGTCAATCTACTTGACAGCATTTTTCATTAGACTATAGTCGTCTTCCCTTTTAGATTTCATTGTGAACGAGAGAGAAGTGTGGTAGAAAGAGTGCGCCATATAAGCGTTGCCTGGCAACGTGGTGACGACGCCTATATGACGCACTCTTTCTAACACACTTCTCTCTCTCTCTCTCTCTCTACCTCCCTCCCTCCCCCTATCTCTCTCTCTCTCTCGTACACACGGAAATCTAAAAGGGAAAAAGAGTTGTGCAGCACTGTATAAACAGTCAGACAATTAAAGCATATATATACTCACAATCAACTTATCACGATCTAAATTTATTAAATCAGCTCCTTTGATGTCCTTGCATCTAAAAACATCCGAGTACGTGTAGAGGTTCAGGGCTGCCATCCATTCCACGACATGTGATGATGTCCACTCGGATATGGGCTGCAAAAAAGGAAAATTGCAATCAATATGAATGCCGAATGATACTTTGAAGGTTATTTGTTTATCAACAATATGGAAGGCCTATGAATGTGAATGTATCTTACAATTATTGAGTAACGTATTTTATCTAAATATAGCCAATATGAGACAGTAGCAGAACAGACCAAGATGAATTTTGAAGTCTACTTTGAAAAGTGTATTTGGTTCATAGATCGCGTAATGATATTCAATCCTTTTTTTTTGTGCCTCTCTGATGCCTATTTGAATTGGATATCACGCATACCCAATAACATATACCTCCAATTGGTCTTTGTTATTAAAATACTTCATTTGGTGTTCCCCTGCTTGAAGTGGAGAGTAGTGTTATACAAATTCTTTGTTAATACATAATATGTGATACCTTTGTAACATGTGTTTTTTTGGCTTGGAATGTACTGTTTTCAAACTGTGCAGTATACAGGTTGTTTCAGAACAACGTGGCAATATTTCTATGGCATAAAATAGATAAAAAATAACAAAGAAAGTTCATAGAACGATAGTATTGAAACTATCATTCCGAAATCGAAAAAATTATATCTCCATAGTGGATCATGGCCAACACATACAAAAATTTTCGTGAATTGACGCTTTTTACTCTGAATGGCATTATTCTGTTAATGAAGTAACCTTTATTATAATTTTATTTTGAGGTCATTAATTATGATGGTGATTGGTGATTAAAAATTATTTTCTATTTTTTAGTTCGGTTAGCTATAAAAGCGTGTTTTTTAGCTTCTTTAAACTATTATTTATTTTTCATTTTTTCGTACATACATACATACACATACATACATACATACATACATACATACGTACACACATACACATACACACATACACCTACACACACACACACACACACATACACATACACACATAGACATACACACACATACACACATACACATACACACATACACATACACATATACACATACACACATACACATACACACATACACATACACACATACACATACACACATACACACATACACATACACACATACACATAGACATACCACACATACACCATACACATACACACATAGACATACACACATAGACATACACACACATACACATACACACATACACATACACATATACACATACACACATACACATACACACATACACATACACACATACACATACACACATACACACATCGCATACACACAGACACATAGACATACACACACATACACACATACACATACACACATAGACATACACACCTAGACATACACACACATACACATACACACATACACATACACACATACACATACACACATACACATACACATACACATACACATACACACATACACATACACTACACATATCACATACCCACATACACATATACACATACAGCACATACACATACACACATACACACATACACATACCAGACACATACACACATACACATACACACATACCATCACTACACATACACACATACACATACACACATACACATACACACATACACATACACATACACACACACACACATACACCTATACACACATACACTTACACACACACACACACATACACCTATACACTTACCCACATACATATACACACATATATACATACACACACACATACACACTTACACACATACACACACACACTTACATACATACATACAGGCCAAGCTAATAAAAGCGTGTTAAATAAGCTGAAGGTAACGAAGTTTGACATTGAAAACTGCATATGGAGAATAATCCTATTTCACCATAGTTCATGTTTTATCCTTGTTCGGTCTCGTTAGTGTCGTAGAAATTTACAACACTCTGTATCTTAGTAATGGCACATTTTAGGACGCGAATCTTTATTTGTCATTTACTATCCTAGAAATTTGTCACCTTTTTTCTGAAACACCCTGTATTTTAAACCGAATGCGAATGTAACTCTGTTCCGTTCCTTTTTTTTAACCACGCGGACGGAAAGCACCTCGACATAATAATTAGATTTAAAGCGTTAATCAAGCGGGATTTTTCGTTTATACGTTGAAATCGAGCCACTTTCCTTGAGCGATTCCAAAATTCACAAGTATTTATAGAACCAACGTACAGTCAACTATGATTTATACTGATAATGTGGCTCCCTCACTTGCCAAGATCAGTTTTATCAGGATTATAGGAAAAAAATTACACGTCAGAAGACATTTATAGAAAAACGGTTACATTGTAGACACTCTTAAGGCTGGCTTACACATACCAATCGTACGCTTCGCTTGTCAAGCCACTCGTAATTTTTTTTTATATCGAAGCAGCCGCGTAGGTGGAAGCCTAAACACTGGGACACCGCGGCGGTTATAAAGGAGCTTTTCTAATTCGATTGAGTATCGAAAGAGCTTGTTCAGTTTAGAAGTCAAATTTTTTCTTACCCAAATTCCCTACAATAGCCGTCCAGGCTATTCGGCACTTCGCGTATCCCGGTAATTTTGACGGATGTGGCAACAGCGGTCCGCGCAATCCACTGGAGTAACGAGCGAAAGAAGAGGACACGAATTGAAAAAAGCGAGAGAGAAAGCGGTCAGACGGGCGCTTAGCAACGTGCGCCGGGTTCTATTGGACACCAATCCGCCTATCGACTGAAACTCGACAAAATCGAGAGTGTATTACACCGAGAGCGAGAAAGAGACAGAGAATAATGAGCAACCAGCATGTCAAGTTTATCATCCCAAATTCAAAGTCAACGTTTTGGCTGCCAGATGCACAACTTGAGTGACGGATATGTGGAAAGACACAGGGAAAACAATATACAAATATAAATTACATCAATTTTTCTCAAAATTGGATCGTATTGTTAGATGGTTACTGTTCGCCGAGTGTTCATACGAGGGATACGCGCGATGTTCCATAGAAATGTTAGACATAAGACAACGCAAAGCGAAATATTTCACCAGAATCGACCTCTGCGAGAACGCATAGCTGCTATTAAGAGCCTATTAGACATATTTCACACATCATAGATTTTCCCGTACACTAGCCCTTAAAGCTTAGAAAAATGTTCTCGGCAGACGGATCGCGTATCTACCTGCCGCGTCTGCTTCTGCTCCCGGTGGCGTGCCAGTCCTGGTTGTTCTGTTATTACTGCTGTGGCCGGGGTGCCACGTGTTACGCGTGAGAGACAACGTTGCCAGATGGGATTATCAGTAGGGCAGGGGAAGAATGTCTATGATCTAACTGTATGTTAACTTGTTTGACTGATTTTCTTCTCAGAGGGTCAAGTTTGTTATCCTTTATTTACCGATAACGGCGTTGCGTGGGAAATGCAGAGTCAAGCTACTTGACCCCATTTTCCAATTGAAAATCGCAGTATTTTATATACATGCCGAGAACTATTCGTCCTACACTCGTACTTCTCATACTCTGGCTAACATGGTGACGTACATATACAGGGTGACTTTGAAGTTGAGTCATTAATTTTCAGATAATGATTGTAGAAGGAAGATAAACCAAAATGTGTGTAAAAATAAAAAAAAAATGTTACCTTGTTTTATAAAGTATCCTCCCGACAAGTATTTCAGTGCGGACCTGCATTTGATCGTGCGGTCTTGGAGCACCGGCATGCTCTCTCCTGTGAGGTCACTTGATTGGGAAACCGATCCGCATAAATCCGTGATGCCGCGGCAGCATTTTGTAAATACTACCCCCCACCCCCCCCCTACCCCCCCCCCGTAAATAAGAATCATGTCCACGAGTTCAGCATTTTCGTAAACATGTGCCATTTTTTATTTCGTTTGAGCCACCCAACAAACACCACTATTCACTCACGCGTTACCGACTGACATATTGACTGAATACAACTGAATAAAATTGTAGTAAAAACATCGTGATAAGCGTTTCAAATTCTTTCGCTTTTTGGTTCCGATGGGATGAACCGATAAGGCGGATTATATCCGTTGTTGCCAAACACGAGCACATAATATTATTATTGAGACAGGGCGGTACTCAAACTTCTAAAGGTCTATAACTTTAATTTTACCAGAAAAATGTTAAAGGAAAAAACATTTCTTTTGATCAGATCTACTCACTGTTAAAATAAATGACTCAACTTCGAAGTCACCCTGTATAACTATAATATCAATTGCTGGACATAATTTCTGCTGCTCATCGATTTTGATTTCACATTTTGTAATAAAAGTCGAGACAGATATAATGAAATATGAAAACTCGAGAATATTAAGCCGCTATCTTATCTAATCAGCACTACAACTGACCTTTACAATGTTAACTTATATTTTTTCCCTGAAACTGTAGACTCAGCGATGATAGTATTACTGCTAGGAATAAAAATGTTCCATATGCACCTTTTTAACCACTAAAGAGATAAACTAAGTAAGGTATATTTTTCAGTCCCAACTTATTTGAATAAGCGTCCGGTATTCTGACTAGATTAATTACGGCACAACCGTGTAATAGGTTCCTTCTCACAAAGCGCTGTTCAGAATTCGAAATCTGATTCAGAATTGTTTAAAATTCACTTTACCAAAATCAACGTCCCTGATTTGTCTTCAGATTACAATCTTTTAGCTCAGAAATAGTAGAAGTCTGCGCAGGTATTCTGTATAGTTAAATTTTCTAACCGCAAATAGCATCAACACTTTTAATCGCCATTTAGGTTAAACATTATTTTGCACATTTGTGATTTATGAACCGGTTTGTTCTAGAAGTTTTGAGTTAGGAGTCCTCGGAAAATTTTTATTTGGCTTACTGTGCATTGTCCAACTGCTGATCCATCTAACTTAGTGTTTATTCTACATCGCACTTTGATATTATATACAATCAGGCATATCAAGTTTACAAAATGTGAAATATGCGATTTTTAATGCACTGTGAGGTTAACAAACGATAATCTCTGGAAAAATCAGTGACCTCATAGATTTTTCGTTAAACTGCAAACTTTGCGATTGAAGCCACAACAAAAGGTGC